CTATTTTCCCACTCAATGTTCCCTATCTTGCCTCTAGTTACTGGTCTTTCTTACTGATCATCTTCCCTTTGTGCCCTTCTCGGAAGTCACTTTGTAATTGTGGTGATTTCCATTGATTCTCTCAAATCTAGGCTTTCTAGATATATTCTTCAGTGAAAGTCTAAAGAGATGTCAACTTCAACCTTTTCTTCACCTTACTGACAGTGTCAACAGAAAGAATTAACAATTGTCCCACTCGGTAACTTATTCAGGCAAATAATCACTCTCCCCTCCCACTCCTCACCAGCCAGGGACATACATCTCTCTCTCTCTCTCTCTCTCTCTCACACACACACACCTTAGATGATAAAGCCAACCTCAAATAGCTATGTCTATGTTACTTGTTTCAAAAGCTTATATTTTAGGGTGAAATTAGAAGTGGAGCTAATGAGGTCACCCTTTTCTGAGAATGATATGGTAGTAGTCATCCTTCAGTAAGCACTTGGCTTGCTGTCAGGCATTATTCTGGACCTTCAGGGACATTCTGTCACTTAACCCCCCCAGCTCAACCCAGTGACATACCTGTTATCCCCTTTTAGTCTATGATATTTCGCTACACTTTGTTTCCAGCTTCTACTCATTTGACTTTCTTCTTGACCTGGGCTGATGCAGCTGAACGGGCTCAGAGAAACTCTTGTTCCATCTTTACCTGGTTTGTTTTACTCTTCCCTAACCACAGCAGGGTAAATTTGCTTTCCTCTAATTGACTGATTCCTAGATCACCACATTTGATTAATTTACTCACCCATTTGTATTCATTAATTTCTTCTCCATGACAAGCAGTGCTGAGCTTTGGAATCACAAAGTCTGTGCCCTCAGGGCACTTTTGTTCTTCTAGGGAGACAGATGTAGCTGAGAGAATTGCACCCCCATCTGTGCCATATTGGAAGGAAACACAGGATGCTCTCAGGGCACAGAGGAGGTCCACCTAACTTGGCTTGATGTGGCTTAAAGGTGGGAAAATCAGGGTGGTCTTCCTGGGGGAGATAGTTCCTGGGCCAAATCATAAAGAAGGGGCAGGCTAAGAGGATAAGGGCTGTTTCAGACATTTGACCTCCTCAACATCATGAAGAAACAGATCAGAGACATACCATTACCTTCTTCTGACTTTTAACCCCACTCCATGCTCTCTTCCCATCTTCCCCACATCTTAAGTTTTAAGGAATATTTTCTCTCTATTTATGTGCTTGTTGGTTTATTTATTCATCCAACATTTAAAGACAGCCTACTGTGTGCACAGCACTGTGACTGTAGAGTGTCCTGGCCCCTGTTCCATGGGAGGCCTTAACCTCATCTTGGAGACACTCCTCCATGAGCTGTCTTCCTACTCTCTCTTGTGTTTCTGATATGTCTCTTCCTCTCCCTGTTAGCCTTGGAAGTTCTGTGAGGGCAAGGGCTGGATCCTTCCCTTTTCTCTAGACTTTTTTATGGCCTACTGAGACTGAGTGGGGGGGGGGGGAAGAAACCTTTGTTAACAATCACAAACTTAGTGTCCTTTACTGAGCACCTCCTATGAGCCAGTTCCTTGTTCTTCATGCTTCTCATGCGGATAGCTAATCCTCACATCTACAAACTGCCTTCCTTTCCACTTAGGTGAGACAGCTTGGGCTCAGGAAGGCAAAATGAATTTCTCAAATCCATGTAGTTAATAAACAGCAGATCTTAACATCATCAAAAGTAGTTTCCTGGTGCCACATCCGTCACCTTTCCACCATATTGTTTCTGTTTCTACCATACTGTTTCCACTATTGTTTCTCAAATTTGACTGGAATCACTGGAAGAATTTTATAAGATTCCCATGCCTGTGTCTTAGACCTGGAGGTTTTGATGAGCTGTGGCAGCTGAGGTGAGTGTGTGGCCTGGGATTTGGGATTTTTGGAATGCTCCCTAGGGCAGTCTATGGGAGCCGAGGTTGAGAAGCAGCCACTACACCACACCACTTTTTTGTGCTCACACTGTCTGTAGCTGTTGGTGTGGGTGTGCAAATCTGCTTACATGTGTGGCGTCCATGTGACCAGAATGTGAGTTCTTTGTAGTTAGGGATCTTTGGTCCTCCCTGTTGCATCCCCACCCGCAACCTCATTATCCTGAGCATGTGTCCTGCAAGGGGTTGTTGACTTTAGCCAGCCTCTTGGTTCTTATGTCTCATCCAGGGGATTCAGTGATAGGAGGTTGGAGTTCGATCACATCCAGCTGTTCTCATCCTCAGAGCCTGTTGATGTAACAGAAGAATCTTATAAACATGCTGACCACTTGCTGGTCTAGGGTGTAGCTCATGACCTAGATTCATCACAAGTGCAACTCTGGAACTTCAGCAGCCCTGCCAGGAGGGAGGAGGCTGTTCTGTAGTAGGCCATCTGTGTGCGGTTCCGGCTTTTCATACTCAGGAGGAATTTGTGGCTCATCTGGGTCAGTTCATGTGTATATTCTATTCTTCCCAGGGTCCCCAGAAGTCCTTAACTTGCCCTTATTTTATTGATAAGGCAGTGGGCACACACTCGGTGAAATGACTTGGCAAATAAACTGACACAGGGCACAGGTGAGCAGCACACTCAGCGTGGTGGTATTGTTGACTGCTGTGGTCGGTGTCTGGCTTTTCACGCAGGCCTCAGTTGTAACCACCAGCTTTCCTACCTTCTTCTTGTTTACCCTTATCATGGGGGTTCCGGTACACCTACCTAGGTTGTTACTCTGTGTCCTTGAGATTATAGTACTAGCCACCAGGAGTCCTGTGGGGTGCTGACGGGGATTGTACTGATGACACTGGACCCCTCTTGAATCTGCTCAGCTAAGAGGAAATCTTCCCAACCCTAATCCCATCTCCTAGTATTTATTCTTTAGCCATCATTCACTGACTAATGATTCTTTGCCAGGCTCTACTCTGAACACTGGGATATAGAAACAAAGCACAATTTGTCTAACATATAATTATGTAAGGCGCAGTCTAGTAGAGATAATAAGCCAGTTAAAAAATATTCCTAAAAGTAGGAACCCCTGCATTGGAAATATAAAAGATGCTTACTAAAATATAGATTTTGAGCCATACTGAAGATGCACTATTTGAGGATCTATGGGGATTAGAGCCAAGAAACCCAGAGCTGAATTGCTGCAAGTTCCTTCAAGTGAATCTTGGGTACTCTGAGATTTGAAAACTAGAGAAATGAGGCCAGTGTCATCAGTATGGGGTCGTATATGATGGAGGACACCAGGTTCTGAGGAGGGACACTATCTGCACTCAGGAAGAGCCTGAAGATGTCGTGAGGAGGAACATGAGCAAGCCAGATTAGGTGTGGCCAGTCATTTCTCTTGACCTGTGAGTCATGCTTAATTTATCCTTTTTGTAAGTCTCTATTAGTGGTTTGCTTAAGTGGAACATACCTGGAACGGGTAGCCTTAGTGAGCTTTTGGGGGCTTTTAGGCCCTTGATATCTGCACTTACTGTGTTGCCCCAGTGTTAACTCCTGTCCTCCCTAAGCCTCACACCCTAGCTCCACTTTTGATCAAACCTCTTTTACTTCAGTTACATGATTTGGGCTTGCAAGGTTTGCCCCCTAGAGGTGGGTTAGTGCTTGGGTCTGTGGGCCCAAGACCACCAATGTTGAGGGCTCAGCCCTATGGTCAGGACAAGCTGGTTTTCTCTTTAAGAAGTTGGGTTATTGAGGGGGTGGGCAGGAGAAGTGGACAGTGAAATGAAATAGGACAGGAAAGATGACAGAGTTTCAGAGGCAGGTGTCCCTACCAAGCATCTGATCAGAAACCTTTCATTTTGGAGATGAGGAAATTGAGGTTCAGAAAGATGATGTGGAACCCCTAAACGATACCACCAGGCACAACTTTCAATTAATTCTGGTGACTGAAATTCTGGATCTCTTACCAGTGGTTTTTTTTTTTTTTTTTGCTTCACTGTAACTGGAGCTTTTTAAATATACCTGGAAGGACTAAATTGAAAAGGATTCTTTATGAATCTTTCATCAATGAAATTATTTAGTAGGGTTAACTTTTAAGTATCTAAGCCTGTGTGTTTTCAATTTTTTTTAAATGTATTCATTGTATCATCTTTCATTTTTGTGCAATGTGTGGGTTCCCTGTGAAATTCCCACCATCACTGCACCCGTACACCATCACCGTGCTCCCTTGTGCTCTTTCTCCCCACTCCTGTCATTGCCTGGTGATTTTGATTTTTACTTTATGGTAGTTACTTTTTTTTTTCAGATCCCTTTTTTGTTTTCTCTATACTTCTCCTTAAGGTACAGCAGAGGTGGGCTGTGGGGTTCTGTATTGCATGTGCCATGTGATAAAAGTGGATTTATCAATGAAAGAGCTTTGATAGACACACTGTGCTATATGAGTGGTTCTCAAAGTGGGGGTCCCAGATGAGCAGTGTCTGAATCACCTGGAAGTTTGTTAGCAATCCACATTCTCCAGCCTCTTCCAAGGTCCACTGCATCAGAAACTCCATGCGGGGTCTGGTGATGTGGCTTAACAAGCCTGCAGTTGATTCTGATGCATACGCAAGTTGGAGATTCACCGCTCTGTATCAAAAAGAACTAGGCTTTAAGTCTCTCCAATTTTAGCAAGTGAGATAGTATCAGGGAGGCGAGAGCAGTGGGATCAGTGTCATGAATTTCAGGTGAGCAGGTGAGAAATCCTTTAATATTCAGCTTTTTCGCTTGAAAATCCCCACAAAGTTGTGCATGTGTATATAGTCATATTGCCTTATTTGAGTTGAGTAGCCATCCTGAGTGTGGGTCTATGAGTCTTCAGAGAGCAATTTTCTCTTGTCTTTTCTGATAAGGGAAAACTCCCTGAACTTTGTTTCTCTGTACTTATATTAAGCCAGAGCCTGCAGTTATAAAGCAGTTGAGAATGAGGCAATTAATAACTATAGTTTTCTTCATCTGCACCATTGTGATTTTCTTGAGTTACTTATTTATTGAAAATATATTGCTATTTCTCAACAGACTTGAAGCTTCAGGATTTCCTTGTGGACAATGAAACCTTCACTGGCTTCCTGAATCACAACCTCTCTCTGCCAAGGTCCATTGTGGACAAAATGCTGGGTGCTGATGTCAGTCTCCACAAGGTGAGGTACTACCTTCAGCTTCCTCCGTGAGGCTGCTGGCAGTAACATGGCTTCAGAGTGCCTGGAAAGAAATGAATAAAACCCTGTGTAGTGGCACTGAAAGAGGGTGCTGTAGCTCATGTTCACCTTCATCTATTTCACTTCCTTCTCAGGCTATCTTTACCATCCGTAGGGTGGAAATGCAACCTGGCATCATGGACCAGCTGGTTGAAAGAAAACTTACTTCCTGCCTGTTAACTGACACTTGTGGATCACTTCCCCCTAAGGACGGAATGAATTTAAGTTAATGCGAATTAAGCATTTAAATTTTTTTTAGTTTTGAGGCAATTACCAGTATTGAGGATTATATAGTAGTGCTCTTTATAAAATCTAAGTTAAGCTTTATAAAAACCCAATGCTTCCTTTAAAGATAGATAAGAAATACTTAAGAAGAAAATGCTTATATTTATTATTTTTAAATTAATAAACAAGAGGCCCTCCCTGGTGGTGCAGCGGGTTAAAGCACAGCACTGAGAAGCTAAAGCCACTTCTGCATGAGTTCGATCCCTGCCTGCCCTGGAGGTGACCACATGATGTGGCAGACCTCTCCTGACCCTCCCGCTGCTCCCCTCAGCAGTGTACTTCGTTGATCTGCCTGTTCTGTTCCCCACTCTGTCTCTGGTGAAGCCTCTCGCCACCCCTGAGCCTCTGGCCTGTACCCCAGTTCTGTATGAACAAATAAATAAATCTTTAAAAAAATTAATAAACAAGAAAGAAATATTAGTATTTATATAGAATTTTAATCTTAGATTTTTAGAAACCCTCATCTGGCATCATTAGATATCATACTGCTCCCAGCCTGTGGGTAGCATTCCAAGTCACATGGCTAAGGATTTTCAGAGAAGCTTTTCAAGTTTCTCCTCTAGAAGAAAGGAGAACTGCTTTCTTACCATGTCTATGTCTAAATATGAGCATATCTTTACAATAAGCAGACATGGTAGAAGTGTTTATGCTTGAAAATAAGGTCTTCACTTTACATTATCTAGAATTTTTTAATATTAGAAAAATGTGCTTACTGCTTTTTCTCATGACACTAGAAAAATAGGCCTAGTGTTTACCGATTGTGTGGTTGGGAGATGAGCCAAAGGCAGCAGGCGAGTGAAAATAGTTCCATTTCACATGATTTCCATTGCCCCCTGCAATTTCATATCTGTTACACCTGATCAGTTTAAAATAAGGGCCAGACGAGGTGTGGAGGTGGTCCTTGCAGGGTCGTTAGTGCCTCTCTGCTGTCCATATTCTTAACCAGACACTAAAGGGAGGCTGACAGTTTGGCAGCAAGGACTAATTAGAGAAAGGAGTTAAACTGAAGTGTGTTTTAGTATCTGGCAGTAGGTGAAATTCAGTGGAAACCCTAGCAGACCAATGCTCTGCAGCATCAGGGAGCTGCATCCAGAGAGCCTTTTGGTGCTTCACTCACACTGGTTCTACACCAGCAGTTCAAGCTGCACTAATTTAAGATAACAGGGGACATAGTAATGAAGTAATAAAAAGTCTGCATCCTCCTTTTATTTCTTCCATAGCTATTTATTATCTATGATATTTCATTACTTTGGAAAAAGTGAGCAAGAAAACCAAGGTCCCACTTCTTACTAACCTTTGCTGTCCAGTGAATAGTAAGGGCCATATGTGAAGAAGTACAGTTTATTTAGGCCACAAAGACTAATTACACAAGATGTGGTCAAGAAAGGTTCTCTAGGAAATGAATGGGTAAGAGTGTATTAGAATTGGTCCATCAAATTGATGAGAAAAGGTTTGGCATTTTGCTTCTCTGTGGCAAATGAAATGAGTTCCAAATTCTGAAATTGCTTGAACATAGTTGTGTGCATTATTAGTTAAGTATATGTATCTACAAAAATGGTGTATGTAATTTTCACCCCTATAATTCAGTTTAACCCTAGTCTTACTATGTCATAAGTTTCAAAACAATGCAGAGGGTTTCGCTAATAAGGGTGGTTTCAGGGGTTCATACTCTGAATTCCTACTTTTTGAATCATGTGTTCCATGTCTGAGAAAAAGTGCCGGACCTAATATTTCCTTTGCATGAAAGACAAGAGTGTGGCAGTCCACTACGACATTCAGGTTTTAATTGTCCTGTCAGATTGTGCCTTGATCCATTCTCAAGGTCCGTTAAGAGACTTGGACTATTAGTCCATTGGACTATTGCTGTGGTGTCCATTCCTTAAAGCCACATTGATGTGAATTCCTCTTATGAACTTCAAGGAGCCAGCTTCCCATCTTTGTAATCCAGTTTTGCTGGTCTCTCTTTGTATGAAATGCTTCCAGATATTTTTGCAAGGCTACCAGTTACATTTGACTGATCTGTGCAATGGATCAAAATTAGAAGAGGTGATTCAGCGTGGTGACCAAGATATTTCCAAACTTTGTGACCTGACAAGAGAAAAATTGGATGCAGCAGAGAAAGTACTTCGTTCCAACATAGATATCCTGAAGCCAGTCATGGTGAGTAGACTTGTTGTGTGGAGGAAGCTTCAATCATTAGTACTTTTGGAATGTGAAATTATTCCATGGACAACCTGACTTTGTTTTTGTAGAAACAAAACTGACTGGGAGTTTGAGATTTAATTTAGCTCAGTGGCATTCTAATTGTTCTTTCAAACCTTTGGGCTACCTCCCAAAGAATAAATGGGGTAAGAATGAGTTGGGTGTGGTTCTGAATAAGTTGGGTGTGGTGGGTTCCCTTGGAATCCAAGGTCCTGGGTACCCAGAATCAATCAGGGAAGACCTAGTATTTAATGTTTTCTTTATATTATAATTTGAAATTTTAAGAGTTCGTTTGATGAAAGAGTTCCCCAGGTTAAAAAAAAAGTCTCAAAACCATTATTGGGAAGATGAATGTCTATTCATTTTTAAAAGTCCATCAGAAAGGCAACATGAACTGTCATAATGGGAAAACCTAGAATGGGATGGAAAGTCACTCAGTAATTAGCTTAATCAATGACAAAATTACATGAACCAAAAAAAAAAAACAAACAAACAAACAAACAAATTCCACAGTCTGATCAGCCAAGGAATCAATACTTCAGAGAGACAATCCACAAAAATACACTATTCTTTAATCAAAGAATGCAGATGAACCAAGCATACTGGGCACCAGAGTGTTACACATAGTTCCAGAACAGGCATACTTCTTTGGGTATTCTGAGAACTCTGGTGAAAGTCTCTTCCAACAGCATCCCTTAGTATCCAGCTTTTTGTTTTTCCCTCCCAGTTCTCCATATAGTACTCTGATTTATCAGTAGGATCTCCTGAAACCAGGAAAAGAGTCCTGGAAGATGGCTGTGCCTGGAAATAGATGTTTCTCATAATCAAAAAACAATTGGACTCGTCTGGGACTTTGTGCAGCATCATTATTTTAGAGATAGGTCCTTCTAGGACTACTAAGAATGTTCAGGAAATGTGCCTGGATCACACCCTAGAATGTGACCTTAAAAACACATCCCACCATTTACACTCTTCACTTGATCAAGAAGTTCTTGTATCTTGCCTGATTCTATAATATTTGCAGCTTCTGCCTGAAGTGAAGGTGGTGATGGAACGTTGAGTACTTGGGTGATTCTATGGCAGAGTTGATGGTGAGCTAATCAGTGTAAAGGATTTAGGCCTAATACTAAGTTCTGTTCAGTTTTATTGCAGAAGGGGGTATATTCTGTTCAGTGTTTAAAAAAATTACTGAATTGTTTTGTTTACTGCTCTGTGATTGGTTTATGTTCCTAATATAAAATCTTTGGTAAGATCTATTTTTGAATGGGGATGTTTGTAACCTACTTAACTGGTTAAAGAGTTACATAAGCTTATTTTTGTGTAGACATTCACTATGGCTCCTTTTACTGTGTAAGAGACATAGAGGGTTGAAGATTTTTACAGATGCTAGACCCTATCCTTGGACTGTTTTGCTTAACTTCACAACAAGGCATTGCAATTGTCACTCTTTCAGCCAGGATGATTTAAATTTTGGAAAGGTGGTACTTCTAGAAGACACAATAACTTATTCTGTGGCTAATTCATTATTTCATTTGTTTACTAGTTAAATACCAGTTGTGTGCACAACCCAGTATAATCCCTTTCCTTATAAAATGTCTGTATTGTTTTCTATGTAAATGACAGTATAGTCTTTGTAATATGACAATCATAGTTTCAACTGGAAAACTCTCTCTGATTGGGAGGACTAGCATGATAAGATATGTGGAAATGCATGGTCGAAACTGTCAGCTTTATCACAGCCCATCCTGTTGTGTTGTGATTGTACTTAGCAGATCAGTTGATTCATGACTGTGTATTGATTAGGATGGCTACCATATGCTTTCTGTGCATCTCTTCAGGTTCTGTTCTTGTCTGCTGTTGCTGAGAGATCGCTCTATAACATCAGAAAATGGGACTCTTTTCTATGGAAAACATTTTTTGGAGATTTCTCAAAATATTAAAAATGGGTCTTCCATGTGCTCCAGAAATTCCACTCCCAGGTATCTACCTGAAGAATGTGAAGACACTAATTCAAAGGGATATATGCAAGCCTGTGTTCATTGTAGTACTGCTTACAATAGCTAAGCTTTGGAAACAACCTAAGTGCCCAAAGACAGATAAGTCAATTAGAAAGATGTAAGAACTACTACTTAGCTGTGAAAGAAGATAAACTCTTGCTTTTTATGACAATATGGAAGGTTTATGCTAAGTGAAATAAGCCAGAAAGAGAAAGACAAATACTGGATCTTATCACTTACATATGGAATACAAAACCAATGACAGACCTTAGAACTATGACTGCTAAATAGACTACCAGAGAGAAAGGGAGATTGAGGAGCGCAAAGTGGGGAGAGACTACAGAAGACTATTGGTGCCTCGGTAGTGCCTGTGGTGTATTAACACACACCTAAAAGTATAATACCATACCTGTAAATCATGATCAGTGTTGCAAACCATTGTTACCATAAATAGATTGATAGGTAAATTAATAAAGTAAAAATTTTTAAAAAAGAAAATGAGGCTCTGGAATTAAAATATAGTGAGTAGTCAGAATGGTTCTATGTAAAGGATACCTTGGGGGATGAAATGACTTCCAAACACTTTGAAATGTGGCTCTTAGTTCTTGGACTAAATGATCTTAATTAGAGCACTATTTGATGTCCATCAGACAGCTTTTTGCTCCTGCCTCTTGGACGAAATGTCAGCCTTTGTGATGTTAGACGGGTATGGCATGCACAGTCACTGTACATGGACAATTTCTTGTTCCAGGAAACATAACAGGAGCAGCGACCAGTGTCAGACTCAGCATAATGAGGATAGAAGCTCAGCTGTCAATGTGTTTTGCACCAAATGTAGATTATCAGGAGCAAGAGAGATTTCAAAATCTCTCTCCCTTTTTCCTTTTTGGGTGGATATTTTCTTTTTTGAGCCAAGCATCTTCTTCCTCTTTTTACTGGGCCTCCTTCAGTCTCCTTGGGGAAGTACAGCAGAGTGGAAAGGGCACCGGCTTGGGGTCAGCTGCATCTGGCTTCAGTCACTGCTTCAACATTTTACCATCTGAGTGGCCTTCTGTAAATTATTTAGCCTCAGTAAAGCCATGTTTCCTCTTCTTTTACATGCAGATAGTAGTTTCCCTTTGTTGTGATTATAGTCATGCATATGAAGAACTCAGCATGGGCCTGGCATAATTAGGTGCTTAATAGTAAATAGTAATTTGACTGATAGAAATAATGTAAATTGTATGACAAAAAATTGCTGGGAAGTTAAAAATTTCCTCTGTAGGTCAGTGTTAGGAGTTGGACTCCTACTACGCAAATGAGTCCTGAAGAATATTTTGATGAAAAAGTATTATTCTTTACCTAGGTAGTGTCTTGACTGCTTACTCTACAGATTTTTTTATTTATGTGTATACCTCGGTTATGCCTTACCTTAAAAATTAATGCTGATAACAGAATGCTATTATATCTGTTAAGTCTGTGGAAATCAAAACCAGTTTCCAACAGGAGTCCTGCTTTTTCATTTAAAAACATAATTTCTGAATAGTAGGGATTTGTGTCAAGTATATTCCTGAAAACCTTATAAAGATGGCTTTTTGATAAGTAAAGTAATGGATTAACAAGTGAAATATCTCTAGTATAAATGCATAGTCATGAAGGGAGACTTGTGTTAGTGCCCATAGTATTTGTACCATTCAGGAGGAGGTCAGCGCAATGTGGCAGAGACTTCTGTGGTCTTAGCTCTGGGCTAGTTGGCTGGGTGGGTATCGTTCCCACCTGTTTCCTTTCTGAAGCAGCACATACATTTCCCTGAGGAGGAGAATATGTGGGGGCCTCTCTTTGCCACCCCATAATAACCTCTCGTCTGTTTTGGACTGTATTGAGCTATACTATTGATAGTAGATGGGCAGATTTGTTTGGACTGGAAGAATTCATTTGCTTCTTTGTCAAGGCCTTGCTAACTATTATTTTTCTAATACTGTCTTAACAAATTACCACAAACAGCCGCTCCACACATCATGAATTATCTTGCAGTTCTGTAGAAGTCTATGTACATCATGGCCTACTGGGACCACTTAGAGTCTCAACAAGACTGAAATCAAGTTGTTCATAAGGTTGGAGCCTCTGAAGATGATTTGGTTTTGTCTCATTCAAGTTGGTTGTTGAATTTGGTTCCTTGTACTTGTAGGACTGAAGTTCTTGTTTCCTTGCTAGATGTCAGTAAGGGGCTGACTGTTGCTCCAGAGCCTGCTAGCATTCCTTTGTGATGCTTTCAGATGGTGCCTCTCCAGCCGCCATCAGGATCTCTCTCCTATTTCACGTCTCTTTCAACCCCATTTCTCTGCCTCTAAACAGAGAACATTCTCTGCTTTTAAGGGACTTGTGTGACTACTTTGGACTTAGATAATACAAGATACTCTCCATACCTCTAATTATAATTGTATCTGTAAAGTACATTTTTTTTTTACATTAGATATGGCATTTTATCATGTAATGTAACCTATTCACAAGTTCTGAGGATTAGCGTGTAGACAGCTTTGGGAGCTCATTTATCCTCCCACAAGTATCGTTTGACTGGAAGTTGTGTTCCAGTACATCTTTGAAGTGTTTCCTCAGAGCCCTTGGCTTCTCTTAGTCCCTCTTGAGCCCTGTGACCTTGTTTGTCCACATTGAAAGAGGGACTTGAATCATAATAAACATGACTCATTACAGTGAGAGCAATGACTTTGGGATGCACCACATCTCTGAACAAGGCGTGAGGGATTTGTCAACAAAATCAACAACTGTAAGTCTGTTTTGTACCAGTCCCATTCTAGGCGCTGAAGGTTCAGCTTTGAACCAGATACATGGAACTTTCATTCCAGTGGGCAAGACAGGGGATTAAAGGAATTCTCCTCAGTGTGCAACCCATAGCGTTAAGCTGTCTTCTCATTTTACTTTTACTGATGCCACTCAACAGCACTCTGACAGCTGTTGTTGCCAGTGTGGGGTACTGTGAGACGTGGCAGAGGAATTTGGGGTTCTTTAGGCTTGGATGCCAGTCCTGGCTTGTCGTTGTCTCAGTGATGTGCCGGTGATGTCTGATCCTTAAACTGGGGGAGATAGGGTCTGATTCTTACATTAGGAAGGACAGGATACAGATTAATGTCCACTACTGTGTAGCCATGTGTTGTATAATCTTGACCTTCGATGATACCTTCACCCTAAAAAGGAAAGTTTTCTTCCTCTGGAACAAAGCGTTCTGTTTATATGTCTTCTGATGCGTACAGCACATTCTTGCAAAGTCAGAACTCAGTTCATGGGACAAAGGAGGTGAAGTGAGTGTGCCCTGAGGTCCCTGGAAAGCCAGTGATCTCATAGTGGATTATAGAAAGAGCAGATGGGGTGAACAAATTCATCTTTGTCTTGGAGGGTCTTTGTTTGGTGTCTTCTTACCCTTAAACAAGGACTCAAAATGCAGATGGGACTTGACTCATAATTTTTTGGGACTAGATACTTCAACATGTCACATTCCGTCCTTACGGGATTTATGTGTGGGTTCTTTTGAAGGAGAAAACATTTGCTTTTCCTCTCCTCCTTTCTGAAATTCAGACATTTGTGGGAAGTATCAGATTTTGTTTGGCTTTGTTTGATTTTACTGCCCACCTGCTTACAACATATGCTTTCACTTGGCAAGCAATTGCAATCCCCATCATTTTGTATTTGGTAAAATGACATGCCTTGCAGATTTATGCTTTAGACTCTTGTGTTTACCTGATTCCTAAGGGAAATTTGGAGCACAGAATAGAGGGATACGTTGGTGAATTTAGCAGAGTGTTAATGTGTCTACTCAACTCCATGTCACCACACATTTTTGCCTCAATTATACTATTTCTTCCTTGAAAATTGTTGCTATTTTAAGTTAAAGGCTCATTTTGGTCCTGAATGATGTGATAGTAGGCATATTTAACTGTGTTTAGAAACAGAAAAAAAAATGAAGTATTTGAATACATTAAATAGATCAAATTTAAAATTTAAATTGTTGAACTGTCTTCTAAAAGATCAGTAGTTTTCTCTGACATGAGTTTTGTAATTCTCTACTTCAACAACAACAAAAAAATGTTAAAATATTCCTGAAAGTAAAACTTTGTAATGTAGATCATTGGAAAGAAGCAGTACTTCTGGGTGGGGATATTCTTTGTACCCAGGATGTGTCTTATTTTCAGTTTGAAAGGAACATGCTCATACCCTCAGTTGGGTTTTCTGTGCATGTGCAAAGTGAAGTAGAGACTTTAAGAAAGTGTTTAAGTGTGAAATGTTCCAATGAACACATTATAACATGTGTTCTTTGGAAGAAAATAATATTGCTTATTATATTGAATGCTTTTCAAAGGTGCCCATATTTCACTTTATCTAGTAGTAGAATCTCTGAAAAATTTGGGTGTGAAGATTTTTTTGAAGAGTTTTCAGTCACATTTCAATTTCACTGATGTTCTCTATTTTATTTCTCTTTGATTTCAAATTAGAAATATACTCTTCCAGTCTTCATTTTGTTTAGTGATCATCTGTAATACTAAATACATTCATTCAGCCACACTTACTGAGCCCTGGTGTGTGCCATGCACTGGACAGGGGAAGACTGTGGTGAGCAAGAAACAGCTGTCTCTGATTTCTCCTGTGGGTCAGGGGTTTGGCGGCCCTGGGGGGCACCTCTGACCCAGTCTTTGAGGATCAGCAAAAAATCAGAATAGAGGGTAGTCAGATAAAGTGCAGGGAAGAGAATGTTCTAGGCAGAGGTCATGGCAGGTGCATGGGTCCAGAGGGGAGAGAGAAGATGGCATTTGTGGGAGCTGAACATGATCGGTTCAAAGTCAGTTGATTGGATTGGAGTGGAGTGGGGGTAACTATGGGGAGTTTCATGGGAGAGGGAATGGTAAGGTGGGACCCTGTGGCTGTTGGGCCTCATCCTCAGACAAGGGAGCCACCCAAAAGCTCCATGGGATGAGTAACTTGTGAGGTGAATCCAAACAGAGAATGTAGTTCTTTTCAAGAAATGGAAGCCCTGTTTGCAAAGGTGTTAAGTTTGGATAGCAAGTTTTCTCTTCCCTCAAAAGGGAAGAGAAAGGCAAGGATGTCATAGTTTATGGTTGTGAAGGCCTACTATGTGCCAGGCATTGTCAGGGCTCTCTGCATGTGTGCCCTCGTTTGTTACATGAAGTGCTGTGACTTGTGCACATGATATTAACTGTGTTGGATAGTTCAGAAAATGGAAGCATGGGGAATTTGAGCCACCTGCCCAGGGTTTTGTAACCACACCTCTCCCTCCATCCTCATAACCGGAGAAGAAGTGGCAGAGTGACAGGAATGATAAGAACCTATTTCCATTCAGACTTTATGAAAGAAACCAGTTAACCCCCACCAGCTTTTAAGATTTTTACTTAAAAATATTGAAATGGAATGAAAAATTAAGCGTTTTTGTTTTGCTACACAATTCTGAACATGTACCATCTTGTGGCTCTCATGGTAAGCACAAAAACCCTTTGCCTTCATGTCTTCTAATTATGACCTCAAGTTGTCCTTCCATCAAGTTTTCCCTTAGGTTTAACTTTTAGTATAGGTTCAACTATTGGCTACAATGTGATCCTGAAGAGAGAAAAGAAAATGCCTAAAACACCCCACCTATTTGCTCATGAATTCAAATCACAGAGGGAAATGTCATTAGCACTGTGACCTGAGTATGTTTAGAGGTCCCTTCGCCCAGCAGAGGACTGGGAGTGTGGGAGTGCCAGAAGCTGGTGATGAAGCCATTTCAGGAGAGCTCATGAATCAGGCTGAACAAATTCTTTCATAGGGTGTTTAGATAGATTTGATCAGAAATGTATATTCAGCGCTATGCTTGGATATTATGGTGACATGATAAGACTAACTTGATCTTGTTACATATGGAGTTCTCTTGAAACGAAAAATTCCATATCTCTCTTTCTAAGAGACAATGATGTGTTCATTCACTTTCAATTATTTTCTAAGCTGTCTGCATTAAGATTTATTGTAGTCTGATATAAGACAAATACTAAAGTAACCCAGGCTTCTCTAGATTTCAGAGGTGACTGATGTAGAATAAAGTGATGTCTATTGAGGAGCCAAGGAAAGTTGGGTTTTCCCTGAAGACTGTTTCCCCTAACTAACAAATAAGAATGACGAAACTCATCCTGTATTTTTTCTTTCGGTGCCTGAAAACTCAGAATCAAATTTGAGGCTCTTCAGCTGTTACCAATCTGGTCCAGACTCTGTGTCTCATTGTTTTTTCTTTCTCTAGCTTATACTTTCTGCCCTGGGCCCAGTTATTTTCTGTGCAGCTTTGTGGCACATAGCAGCAATTAAATATCTAAGTGAATAAAGTGAATAAATAAAAATATTTGTCTAAAATGAGACATAATGATACATGTTCTGTATTAAATTTCCAGTGTTAGAACCAGTGCTGACTTGCGTAAAATAAAAAAGAAAGAACTTCTCAAGCTATTGGAAGTCTCTAAGCTTTATATTTTTTCTCTTTCTTATGAGCCTTGTTTCTGAAGGTATTCTCCTGATGCCTCTTTTGCAAAAATGTAAAATTGGGGATTTGTGGTTAGAGTTGCATTGGATACACGCTCCAGCACACGCACATACACACACACACACACACACAAAGAGGCCCTCCCCCATGAGATATTTTTATCTTTTGCCATGTCTAATAGTTCTAAATATACATATTCCCACAATATTTTAAGCTCATTCATCAATAAATTAGTAACTCTTATCTGATATAAATAACATGTCAGCATTCCATATAGAATAGTTTTAGTATTTTACTTTGCTTAGCAGCGAGTTTCTCATGTTTTAAACTTAAGATTGTGAATGGTTTTAATTAACTTGTTTATTTTCAATAGAGACTTCCAGTTTACAACTGAGCTTAGAAACAGTGTTTTTTCTCATTTCAGAGAGAACTAAATTCTACATCTCCCTTCCCATATAAGGAACTGACGGAAGCCACACAAATTTTGCTGGATAGTCTTGGGACTCTGGCCCAAGAGGTAAGTGGTGTCTTCTAGCACCAGAAGGCAGACAATTCACAATCAGCTTTTTTTGACTTTGAGTTTGGCTGAGAGAGTCCTTTTGATTTAATATTACATAAAATGTAAAATCAGTGTTAGAAGCATCAGTGATCTTAAAAATCATCTGGTTTGATTTCCATACTTCAGAAATGAAGAAACAGGCCTTGTTAGTGCTTAAATGTTCAGTGTCTAGTGTGGACTTTCTCTTATGGTTCCTCTCTGTCCCAGTATAATTCGTCCTCATGTGTTACTTTCATCTTACCAGCTGCTTCTGCATATTTCTTCTTCAAAAATAAGGCTAGGTCATATTTATTACTAAGACATATGTTTGCTAATCAAAGGAGAAAACAGAGTTACTTTAAATCACATCTTCCCCCGTGGATATCTGGCCTCTGAGAATATCATCTCTTGATGAATACCAGGTTTGCCTTTTTGGCCCCATGTTGACAAATGTTTCAAGATAACCTTTGTGAGAGGATCAGAAGGTCTGTGGGTGCATGCAAAAGCAGTTAACCTTTCCTCCGCCTCCTAGCCAGCTGAGTGTCACCTTGCTGACACCCAGCCCTGTTTCAGATTAGACTTGGAAAGGAGAAACTGTCTGGAGCTAAGCATGTGAGGAGCTGAGCCAGGGAGTAGTGATCAGAAACACCGCCTGCCTTGCCTTAATGTATAGGGCACTGCATAGAGATCATTGGTAGGGACACATTCTCACTGCTAGCCCAACCTTATCTTGAGGTGCTTCTCTAGCTCATTTTTTGTGTTTGTGTCATTTTTCTCAAGTACTAAAATTTACTTTGGGTTTTCTGAGATTAGAATTGTTGCATATTCCCTGGGGAAAATGAAGAACATTTGGAACATACAGAAAATACTGTGATCACATACCATCGCCACTGCAGTGTATTGCTTTCTGTTCCATTCTCTTTTCTGTTTTACTTTTGCTCAAGTCTGTCTTAACTGTAGAGGCTTGGCATTGCAGTCCTTTTCAGGAGGAGACACCCTCTTCCAGCCTGCTGTTTGTTGCTCCAGCTCGGAGTGCTGCTGACTTTCTGTAGGTGGAGAGGCAGGGTCAGCCAGGGTTCTTCCAGGAGGCAGAAAGAAAACAAACTGCCCTGCAAGTTCATGGCTGTTTCTCCAGGGTCTCGTTAGCTGGCATTGGCCTGCCCCATACAACTCTGGCACATCTCCTCCCGGCCTCCGAAAGCAAAGCAGGACCTGGAACTTGGGAACGCTGCCTCTCAATGTAGGGCCTGGTTACAGCTGTTTCCTCTTACCTCACTGGGCTGCCTTTTGTCTGGGGTAAAACAGTAATTGAAAGCATGTAATGCTCCTGTTGCTGATGTGGCAGAAGGGCTCCGACTGAGACTGCATTTTTCTTGGCAGCTGCTTCCATGTGCCCTGCCTGCTCCCTAGCCCAGGGCAAGCAAGGGCTACCCCTTGTCTCAGTGGAACATCTTCAGGTCATTTTGACCATTATTCATTGTCCGACTTATAGTTCTCTGGGGCAAATGGGAGGAGAAAATAAATAAATGCACTTGTTTATCTATTCAGTGTTTGGAAAGACAGTTGTTTGTTTTCACCAAAGAGAAAGGGAACTAGCATCTTTTGAAAGCTCTCTGGACTTGGCAGCTTCACCAATTTTCCTGTATAATCCATATGACAAATGTGAGTGGGTGTTAGCATGCCCATTTTGCAGAGGAAAACCTTGGAAAAGTTGTAGGAAAAGACAGCTTACCCACAGTCACCTAGTTAATTAATTGACAAAACTGGGATTTGAACCCAGAATGGTTGGATGCCAAGACCCATGTTCTTGCTGTCAGTGCTTGCTTTTTGTCTGACAAACTCTGATAATAATGGGAATAGCATAGAAAGGAGGTCCGTCAAGGAGAGAAAATATGGATTCACAGAACGTGTGGGTGGGCGTGTGGGTGGGAATGGGGAGGTTAGGAGTCAGATGAGGCAAAGCTTATATGAGCGTCACATCAGGGTAACTGCGGAGCTGTGCCTGATGAAATGGGCAGGCAGGACAGGGAGCTGCATCTGTTGTCCACTCGGCTTCTACCTGGTGCCTGGGTTCACAGGGAGCACGCTCACTTCCTGTACTCATGTGCCTAGGGAGAGCTAGATACGAACAGGTCAGTGTGTACTGTGGCATGCGGTGTGGATGTATACAAAGAGAGAAATAAACCCAGTCAGGAAAGTAGAGGGTGGTGAGTCCATGTTGTTTTAGAGACATGATTAGGGGAGTCCAAGATGGCATTTGAGCCTGAGAAAATGGAAGTGTGCCCCCCCCCACCCAAGCAAGGGGAACTGCACATCAGACACTGACAGGTGGCATGATTAAGGGACGAACTTCAAGTGGGAGACCAGTGGCTAGAACAAAGTGAGCAAGTAAGAACGTGATGGAGGTGAGGACAGAGATGGAGGTGAGCACCAGGAAGGTCTGATGAGGGTAGTTGATGCCAAGTGGAATGGATGCAGAGAAGTTTTGGTGAGAGAAGCAGATGTATACGATTTTATACTCTGGCTGTTAAATTGAAGAGAGGCTGTGGTGAGCGCAAGGGAAGAAGGAACTAGTATAGTTGATTGAGAAAGGAGTGAGTCCGACAGCCTTTCATTCTCTCCACAATGATCACACACTGGTTCAGTTGCCTGGAGAACAAATAACCATCTCTCCCTGGGAGGGGGAGTGGTTCCCAGAGGAAGTGTGGAGCATGGGGTGAGGTATGGAAGAATGAGTAGAAGTTTGCTCCCAAGACAGGTGCTGAAAGGGCCCAGGGTTGGGAATAACAGTCGCTTAGGTGCCTCTGTCCAAAGCTGTGATGGCTTTATGTGTGTGGGAAGAGGCTTTTCTTTCAGTTTGGGGTGGTGAGATGGTGATGTGAAGTGGCAGAAGGGAGTGACTTTCACACACCACTATTTAAGAATCTCCAGGGCAATTCCCACCACCAAGGAGGAAGGTGGCCTGGCTGCCTCTCCCTCCTGCCTATGTCCAGGTTATGAAAGATAAAGTCAGGGTAGGCGGGTCACCTCTTGGTGTTCTCATGGCTTGTGCTGCATGCTGCTGTTCTGGAAGGAGATCCTTATGACCTCTGGCCCTTCCTTGAGTGCCCAGTTTTCTTCTGGAGGCAAAAGACAAAAGTCAGGAGATGCGACATCTAGGATCATGTTAGTTGTAGGAGCCAGCAGGGTCTGTGAGACTGAAAGTGGCTTGTGGAGACTGAATCGAGGCCTCCTCCAATGCATGTGTGGGGTTCCCCTTCCACACACACTCTCCATGGCTCAGTCTTCCAGGTGGTGAGAACGTGTGACATTCAAGGAATGTAAGAGTTTATTAATGATTTATTGTGAAATGCAAAGTGCTCTATAAATATTTAATTAGAAGAGCAACTGGGCAAGGAACCCCGCTAGGTGCCGAAGTACATTTGTGTGTGAGACAAAGTGCTGTTGGAGTTTAAGTCACAGGCTCAGCCCCCAGCTGTCTGGGTGTCTGAGGCATCCTGTACTGCACAGGGCCCTCTCTGCAGACCTGGTGATTTATTCCTCACCGTATTCTGTTTTATGAGGATTAGCTTCATGGTCTTAATGAGAAGTTGGACCCTCAGCAAAGAGATTTCTAAGGCAGTAAGCTACTGAGAGACATAGCTGGCATTCAAACTCGGGTCTCCCACCTAAGCTTTGTCCATTGTTGGACACTTAACCAAGATGAGGATGGGTCTTCACACATAGTGCCTTCTCTCCCAAGGGACAGGAGGCTCCTCAGCTTCTACATGGATGGATGTTTGAGGTGTTAATAGACACCTGTCTGTGATTGAGCTCCTGAGGGCTTTGGAGAATGCTTTCTCACCCGTAAGACAGAAGACAACCCAAAAGAAATCAAGTTCATCACTAGGGGCTTCACTGACTTCTAGGCTGTGCTTCTCAATCTTGTGAAAAGAAACCATCTGAACTTTTTGTGAAAATGCAGATATGAATGGTGGGTAGATAGACCAGATGCATTTCAAACAACCTCTCAGATAATGGTGACGCTCTTCATCTCTGGACCATGAGTGGAGGAGAGATGCAGTCAGACAAGGTGCTTCCTGGGATGTGACAAGAAAATAAGCTGTTTTTTTCTCCTCTGCCCCTCATGTGTGCTCTGACTACTCTTTCTCCTTTTCCTTTGTCTCTTCACCCCTGACACCAGCTGTTCAGCATGAGGAGCTGGAGTGATATGCGACAGGAGGTGATGTTTCTGACCAACGTGAACAACTCCAGCTCCTCCACGCAGATCTACCAAGCTGTGTCCCGCATCGTCTGTGGCCATCCTGAGGGTGGGGGCCTGAAGATCAAGTCCCTCAACTGGTATGAGGACAACAACTACAAAGCCCTCTTTGGAGGCAACGGCACTGAGGAAGATGCTGACACCTTCTATGATAATTCCACGAGTGAGTGTCTGCAGATTGGAGCCCTCACCCCATCCTGCCATAGTTCTAGACTCAACCCAGAGTCACCTCTTCCTCCTGCTTTTACCCCCTATCAACTCTGTAGCAGCACTGGACGTTGACAAGTCTGTTTGCCCACTTCCTGAGACTGAGCTCCTAGGGGACTCACGTCCTCAGGAGCTCACAGCCCCTGCTGTGTGGGGCCCGGCCCATCTCAGGTGTACCATGTACTTACTGAGTGAATAAATGATTGAATGCTACCTCCCCGTTATTTCTGGGGGATGGTTCCTGTAGTAAACAAGGATCGTTCCCTCCTCCTCCCTGTTTTACCTTCCCTGAGGTTTGCTTTATAAAACTTTATGATAAAAACTTGAGAATATTACTAACTTAAAAATAACAATAAAAGCTGACACTTAGGCAATAGTTTCTTTGTACTATGCATACTTTAAGTTATCCCTTCCCGTAACCTCATAAAAAAGGCTTCATAACCCCACATTTTACAGGTATAGGGAGGTTAAGTAATTTAGTCAAAACCACAGAATAGCTAACCCACAAAAGCTGCAATTAAGCCCAGATCCGCCTGGCTCCTTGCTTTTTTCCCGGTATACCATCCTGCCTCTGAAATGCCTGTCAGTGGTGATGTGTGTACCACCAGACCTGGGCATTTGATCTGCTGTTTGTTTTGGGTCTTAGCTGCAAGGTGGTGTTAAAGAACCTTGTAACTCCATATCTGCTCCCCACACTTGGGCAGTTTTGTGGGGATGCATGGCTGGTGCATTGCAAGGAGTCATTGTTACAGTTTCAGACAATGGCATCCTTTTCCTTGAAAACAAGGTTCAAGCAGCCTTTCTCCATTTCTAACCACAGGTGTGTCTTTTCAGACACTGAGTGAGGCAGGTTTTGTTTGTTATTGTAACACAAGAACCTTTTATTCTTCTCCGGAGTAAATGCTGTAGATGTGGCAGATTGCTTTGCTAGCCTGAAGGAATAGGCATAATAGGCAGTTTTCTGAAATCCCCTTACTTTGCAAATCAACGCAGGGGAACTGTCATTTGCACAACAGATATAATTGTGAGCTAATCCTACTTATTTGAAAGATGTAAAAAAAATTTACTATGTTTTTGCTTTTAGGGAAAATAATTGGGATATTTGAATGACATAACACAAACAAATCTGACTTTAAAATACTGTATTATCTTTGCAGCGCATGGTGAATACTTGATGTCTAAAAGAACCTGGCATGAAACACATGAACAAAAAAATTCAGAAATCCTTCTGAATAATCAAACTCTGTTTTCTGTTACAATGTTGAATTTTCCAGTTTTGGAATTTTATAACATCTGCTATATGTACTTGTGCTGAGACCTATTAATTAATGGGTCTTTTTTTTTGCTTGAAATCCAAAGTCTGAATTCAATCTTCTGTTTTCAAAAAAAGAATGTGGGGAGAACTGGCATAAGAGAATGAAGCTAGAATTACACAGCTTATGAAATCTATTGAAAACATTTTCCTAGATTGACTTAGTTATGAGTTATCCATCTTCAGGGTTATAATAAGCCCTGATTTCTTATCAAGCACTGTTGTAAGGGTTCTACAGATAACAGCTTGTTAATTATAAACTTTACTTTTACAGAGAAGCAAACTGAGGTTCAGATAAGTGAAGTTGTTATATAATGCTAAGTGGGAGAGGGGGGAGTTAAACCCAGGATTATCTGGCTATTGTTAATATCATTGCTACAAGTCAGTGACCATGCTTATATGAGTATTTGCCTCTCATCATCCTCATAGCTCCTTATTGCAATGACTTGATGAAGAATTTGGAGTCTAGTCCTCTCTCCCGCATCATCTGGAAAGTGCTAAAGCCTCTGCTTGTCGGGAAGATCCTATATACACCTGATACTCCAGCCACAAGGGAGGTGATGGCTGAGGTAAGTTGCCCACGCTTTTCCCAGAATCATCCTAGAATTAGGGCAAAAAAGTAAAGACAGCTTGGGTGGGGTATATTGAATACTTATGCTCTCCTGGGGTTTCTAAAGAGTTAGAATTTCAAGTCTGAACCAGGCCAGAGCTGATTATTGAGGGCCTGGGGTATTTGAATCCAGCGTTGGGTATGGTATCATAAGTAGGCAGACACTCCTTGGGGATGGAGAAGACTGGCAAAGGGCTACTTGTGGGGCATCTTTTCAGGAAACAGCTGAATTTTTAATGCCTCTGCCTCTCTTCCTTTTTCTGCTATTCTGGCTCTCCATTTGATTCAGGTGAACAAGACTTTCCAGGAACTGGCTGTCTTCCATGATCTAGAAGGCATGTGGGAAGAGCTCAGCCCTAAGATCTGGACCTTCTTAGAGAGCAGCTCAGAAATGGACCTTATCCGGGTGAGTGTCACTCTAATACTGTGTGCCTGCTTGGTGCTAGAGACGTGAGTTTCTGATCCCTTTCCTAGAGGTGACTGAGGTGAGAATTCCTCATGTTTACTCACTGTTGAGCATAGCTTAAACCAGAGAGCTGTCACCTTGGATAGTGCACAGAGAACAGCTTCATATACATCAGCATCAATGCATTTTGTGAGTCAAAAATCAGCTTTCTAGGAAACTTAATGGGTTTTTGGTAGGAGCAAGAATCCGGTAATTGCAGGACAATTGATTGACTATTTTCATTTCTGACTCTGGAACCAACCCCACATCTTACTTAGTCATCATCTGTCTTGGTGAGTCTTACACAGAAGTATAGGAGCAAATACCTGCTCTGACCTATAGGCCCATGTATGTGTCTGGTGAGACATCACTGCTGTGTGAGGGCAACTGCACTTAGTGCTTTAGAACCACTCGAAAGGGATAAGTACTCTAGAGACAATTGGATTCAAAAGAAGAGGAGTCTAAGAAAGAACAGAATGTCTCCTTTGCTTGAGCCTGAGTGGCTTTTAATCTCATCATCTCTGCCTTGGTCTGAGTCAGAGTATCATTAGGCAATTTCCTATCTCCATGGTGAGGGAGGCCTCTTCCTTTTATTTCTGCTGCCATTAAAAAGCAGAAATGGATTTTTTTTTGCCATATTTTTTGTCCTTCACCGATCAGAGGAGTTTTAGAGGTGGTACCTACTTAACAGATATATCATGGGCTTAGGACTGTCCTCTGACATCCTGATACCCTGGGAGGGATGATGCCCCTGGGGCCTTCTAATAATGAGAAAAATGGAGTCATCTTTGTTGCACTACTTCTATTACATGAGCAGAATTCTTAAAGTGGGGTATTTAAAAGCCACAAAAATTTGACCATAAAAATGTGAGTAACAATTAGTGTAGATTTACTGAATAATTCTTGACCAAATAATAACAACAATAGCAGCAGCAGCAAAACTTCATGTCCTTCCAATGTGGGTCTCAGTGGGCCCCAGTCTTTCCTCTATAAAGGATGTATATGTCCCAGACACAGATAATGTCATAGACCTGAGCATGGATTCAAGCATCTTCTTCCTGGCCCTCTCCTTAGAATCCACATTTTTGTTGTTGGACTTTTTTCCTCAAGATGATGAGGTCCCTGATTAAAGGAAGTCCCTGAAGCAGACAGATGCCTTCCTTCCTCTTAAGTAGTTTGATTTGGATACTTCTCAATAGCTCTAGGCATCCACTGTGTCTGGTACAAGGCCCTGTGAACATGACCAATGGTGTTCCTTAGGAACCCTGCCCGGAGGACCCAGGATGTGTGATAGGAAATGTAGGACTTACAGAGGGGAGAATGACTCATGGTTTGGAGCATCTTATGGGGCAAACCAAGGACCTTTAGTTTAAGCTCTGGGGACCATGAAAGGGCCTTTAACTCGGATATGACAGGGCATTGAAAAGGAGAAAGTTGGGAGGTAGAAACCAGGAGGTATCCGAGTAGGTGGCCAGTGTTTCAAGCAGTGCTGATAGCCCTGCTGAACTGCTTGATTGTGGAGGGGTGAAAAAGAGGGAGGCAGTGGTAGGAGTCTTTATTTGTACTTGGTGGATGGTGGGAATGTCTAGTGATCAATGGATGTTGGACCCTGAAGAGCAGGGCAGTGATTGGGCTGGAGACACTGAATAGGGACTTGTCAGCCTGTGAGTGAAAATTGAAGGAGCCTCCTCCCACTGCTTTCTTTTCTTTATTTAGGAGCATTCTCCTATGTAAACTCCACATACTGGGGTTTCTCAGTTCTCCACTTTTCAGCAGCCTATGTGTGGGTACATGAGTCACATGATTCTGTTGGGGTAGTTCTTATCTCCCTTTATTTCAGCTTTATTGACATGTAATTGCCAAGTAGAAATCATACATATTAAAGTAAACAACCTGATGTTTTCATAGACGCATGCATTGTGAAATGATCACAATGGAGCTAAGTAACATGGTCATCTCACATTGTTAAGTTACCACTGAGCAAATTTCAGTACAGTACAGTACTTGAATAAAAGTACAGTACAACACTTTTCACTATATAGTCAACATGCTATTCATTAGGTTTGTGACCCCATGGGCACATCTTTTTGACATGGCTTCCTTAATGCTCAGAAGCCACATGACTCACCTAAATGCACTGTCTTCATTCAGTTCTTTTTTGTTCAGTTTAGATTTCTAAGTAAAGTCATTTCAGAATCACTATCCCATATCCCCGTGAAATTTTGTGAGTTATTATTTTGTGTCCGTTATGCAAGAAAAAAAGCATATACATCTTACTGGTGATGGTATAAATTGTCACTCCCTATTGGCAAGCAATTTGGAATGAAAATTGCAAGCCCCATAAAAAATGTGTACCTCCCATTCTGCATAACCTTAGGGCTGTATAGTATAGAAATAATTATAAAAAATGATAACGTGATAGAAAATATTATTGCTATAGTAATTGTTATTGTGAGGAATTAGAAGTAGCCTAATTGCTTATCAGTATGGGAATAGTTAATGAAATTGTACTATATACATTTCATAAAGTCATTATGGTCCCATTAAAATAAATACAAAGTCACCTTAATAAGGCAGAGGGAGCTTATATGTTAATAGAAATAAAACTGATGTAAAGAGTAGCATGCTTGGCTCCTTGGAAATTCCATTTTAGTAGAGCCAGAGTCTTGAGCCATGGTGGGAGTTGCATCTGCTTTTCCTTTTCCATGAGCCGAGTTTGAAGCGGAGCCATTTTTCTGGCAACACATCTGTGTAGGACAGGACAGCACTTAGTAAAAGTACAGTACAGGTCTGTGCAGGTCTTTGTGCAGATCTCTGGCCCAGCCCTAAGGACTTACTGTTTAGTAAGTAACCATTCAGTAACTTACTGGTTACCGAGTACCAGGTGGTTTGTCTTCCATGTTGACCCATGTGGGGAACTAGACATAGAAGGCAGGTGTCCTTTGCTTATAATCCATGTATCTTACAGTGGGGGAAGCTTGTATTTTATTTGGTTTAACCGCAACATCATTTTCTTAAACTATGTTTGTCTCAATTCAGTTGAGAGAGAGGGTCCTTATGAAGAATCTTTTGAGTTGATCTCAAAAGTGGAAGGTGATATAAAGCTGCAGAAATGTGCAGTAGAGTCTGAGAACTCTCCTTCCATTATTCTGGTGCTGCTACTTATTAGCTGTGTAACCTTAACGTTAGAGACAAAAGTTTTCTAAACCTTTTATCCCATCTTTAAAATGTCAGCTATTAAGGGTACATTACTTAAGGAATTGTGTGATGTAAAGAATATAATAATTCATATATTAATTATAGAGAGTAAGTATGATTCTTGTTAAAGTTAACTGTCAAGCTAAGTAGTTTGGCTCAGTGGAAAACACATGGGCTCTGGATTCAGACTGGCCTAACTTTGAGTCACAGCTCTATACCCATTAGTGCTATGACTTAGCCTGGGTTAAAATCATTTTTCTCCCTCTTTGCCCCAAAACTCAGTCTTTGACCTTCCTCACAATTTTCATAAAGATAAAAATGAAGAGACTTACATATATGAATGGTTGTAAATACAGCATGCTCATCAAGACTTTGGTTGTTGTTCACTTTTTTCTCTTTGGCATCACAGACACTCTTGGACAGCAGGGCCAACGACCACTTTTGGGAACAGCGATTGGATGGTTTAGATTGGACAGCCAAAGATATAATGGAATTTCTGGCCAAGTACCCAGAGGATGTCCAGTCCACGAATGGCTCTGTGTACACCTGGAGAGAAGCCTTCAATGAAACCAACCGGGCAATCCAGACCATATCTCGCTTCATGGAGGTGAGGACCTGCCACATAGATCATTTAGAAAAGTCTTTGGCTTCTTTCTTAGAGATTCTGCAGTAAGGTTTGATTGGAGAAAAGTTTAGAAATAATACATAGTCTTATTTACAGCAGAACCCCTTAAACCTAATACAGTGTACAGATAACTAAATAGTCAGTTGAATAATTGAATGAGTAAATAAACAGACCCTAACTCTAGCTTTATTCTATTTGAATAAAAAACATTTCTGTCCATTACCTTCTAAATTTCCTCGATATCCCAACACCTAGTGGCAGCAAATCATTCCATGAAACCGCACTGTTTATGTAAATTATCAAAATCTAACAGGACAGGTTCCAGTATAAGAATTTAGTTCTAAAAATTATATGTTTTAATAGGAACAAATGGAAAGTTTTTTTGGTCTTTTTGTTCAGTTGTTAAGGCTCAAAATTGTTAATAACTCAGAAGAAAACAGAGGTATGGTCATTGGTTCAAATTCTTCTCTGATATAGAAATCAGGATAAGTAACTTATCTCTAAAATTTAATTAAAACACAAAGTGATCCATTCTTGACTGAAGGTCAAGAGTGAGGATAAGAAAGCCATATTGTTAGCCCTGCCTTCTTAGGATAGAGTCTGCCTTAGCCACTGCTTTTTCCCTGGCTGCTAGAGTTCTCATGAAGGCTGTTCTTCTGTCAGTGTGTCAACCTGAACAAGCTCGAGCCAATAGCAACAGAAGTCCGACTCATCAACAAGTCCATGGAGCTGCTGGATGAGAGGAAGTTCTGGGCTGGTATTGTGTTCACTGGAATTACCCCTGGCAGCGTCGAGCTGCCCCACCATGTCAAGTACAAGATCCGAATGGACATCGACAATGTGGAGAGGACAAATAAGATCAAGGATGCGTAAGTTGGTTCCTGTCACACCCGCCAGTCTTGGGGAAGTTGAGAGCAGCTACTGTGACTGGAGGTACTTTACTTTCTCTGATAATTTGGAGGACATGTCAACCAAAAATAACTCAGATTGGTGGCATGAATATGGTGCAGAAGGTACTTTCATTGCTAGCATCTACTTATGTCATAGATTGTCATTCTTTTTTAATTAAACACTTCATTTAAGGGAATTAACTACAAGGAATTAACCAAAAATTAAAACAAGAAAATTCCCCATGCTAGCACTCCTTTTTTTACAAGATGGGGCAAATAACCAACATAAAAAGGAATGGCTATGTATATTTTGGTGTGCCTATTTAGTACAGTGTTTAGGATCTGGGGGAGGGGAAAATACCAGACCAACATTGTGACATGATTGTTTTTATTATATCTACATAAATATAATATATCATATATATTTACACACATGTCAACTGAGCCCAAAAAGTAAAATATAAAAGCAGTGGCTTTGTGGGTCATTGGATTTTTTTGTTCTAGGGAATACTTGATGATCTGTGGTTTGGTTTTAGGTACTGGGACCCGGGTCCTCGAGCTGACCCCTTTGAGGACATGCGATATGTCTGGGGAGGCTTCGCTTACTTGCAGGATGTAGTGGAGCAGGCGATCATCAGGGTGCTGACAGGCACCGAGAGGAAAACTGGTGTCTATGTTCAGCAAATGCCTTACCCTTGTTATGTCGATGACATGTAAGTTACCAGTAAGACACCATCTTTATTTAAGTAGTTGATACTATCCCTTGGTGGAATGTACACACAGACACACATACACACACACACACACACACACGGGAGTACAGAACACTTTGATTTTATTTATGTAGGAGAGTACAAGTATTGACAATTTCATCCATAGCACAGACAGAGACACACATGTGCACACACTAGTGATCCTACTTTCTAGTCTGTGGTTACTAGTACTTAGATTGTTTACATTCTGCCTTTTGGTCATAATTTTCTCAATAGGCAAATTTAAAATGTTTTATGACAAACAAATGCAAGAGTACACACCCACTCAAACACACCCCCCAAATGTCAAAAGCAGCAGCCTAGACCTCCAGAACAACTTTCTGTAAGTCTGTTTCCTCTTTATAGGTATAAGCACACTTTCAACAACCCAAATTAAAGTGAATAAGCCCCTCTTATGCTAAGTTCTCAGGTCTTTTGCGCCTAGTCACTAAGTTGCCAAGTTTTCTTTATGGAGACTTTGCCTTTGAAGCTCATAATTTTTTGTAAAAGAGAGTGGACAATACTTGCTACTCTAATTTTCATCACTTCAGCACACTGCTCATGAAGCATTTGACAACCTGTACAGGTCTGAGTCCAGTGCACCTGCCCACCTGGGGCTTAGTCATGGTGCTTTCTCTTGGATGCAGGTTGGAGGCATTGGCCCAGGCATTTGGCTGACACTTGTCTTTTTTTCTCTCCTGCCCATCCCTGGGCCCTCCAGCTTCCTGAGGGTGATGAGCCGGTCAATGCCGCTCTTCATGACCCTGGCCTGGATTTACTCTGTGGCCGTAATCATCAAGGGCATCGTGTATGAGAAGGAGGCGCGGCTGAAGGAGACCATGCGTATCATGGGCCTCGACAACGGCATCCTCTGGCTTAGCTGGTTTATCAGCAGCCTCCTCCCTCTGCTCGTGAGCGCTGGCCTGCTGGTGGTCATTCTGAAAGTAAGACTTTCTATCAGGCAACTCCTAAACGGCCTAATTCTGGCTACCTGAAAAGCAAAGCAGATTCTTTAGGAGGGTAGGGTGCCTGCATTCTATCTCCTACAATTCCCTCATGTTACAGTTGGAAAAAACGAGGGCCAGAGAAGTCCCGTGACTTTCTGAGGAGAAGCCTGGCTGGCTAGTCAGTCACTGAGCAGAAGGAGAACTCAGGACTCTTGCTTCTCAGGAAAATACTTCGCCAGGCCTTGATGTCTGCTTGGTAGTTTCATGACCACATCTGAGAGCTTTTCATTTTTTTAGATGTATTAGGTGGTGATTCTGACAGAGTTTCAAAAACTATAATAAGAAGGATATGTATTATTGTCACTTGTTTTTTGTTTTTTGTTTTTTTTCTGGAAGTGGGAGTTGGGAAAGAATTTGTCATAGGGGCACTTATTAGGGATAAATATCTGTAGAAGAGATGAGGAGGATGCAGGATTACGTAGGAATGAACTTGTAGTAGAATTGCAAACAGGGCCAACCTCATGGGTGTACTCTACTCCTGGAGCTCTCTTAGAATGGGAATACGCAGCCCTGCAGGTCTCGCAGGCCGCCCTTCGTGGCCTCGTCAGTAGGGTGTGCCGAAGACCAGGCAGAGCTCTGCAACTGTGACAGTCCCATAGCAGTTGGCACCTGGAGGCTGTCTGCTGCTATCTGGGCAGTGAGTTCCCTCTTGAGGAGGACTCTCAGCAGTGCATTCTGTGTTGAGCCATATATTAATAGCTTCACATTTTCCTTTGTCTGCAGTCATTCTTCTTCTTTTTTTTTTAATGGACTCATCATGTGGAAATAAAAGTTTTCACAGAGAGGGCAGCAGTGTAAAAGGATAATTTACTATTAGCTGCTGTTCATTACAAATGAATATTTAGTGATTGCCAAACACTCTTTAAAGTATATCACCCATGCAGTCTTACGATAAGCTCACTAAATAACCATGTAATATACAAAGACACTCAGACTTTGCTGAGGCCATGCAGCAGTATGGCAGAGCTGTTCTTGCTGAAATGAACCTCTTTTCATGCTCTGACACCCACCTGTGAGGGCCAAGCTCTATGGTAGATGTGGTAGTCCTGTGACTTCTGGGTGCAGATAAACTGGCTAAAGAGAAGCTTATAAGGTCCCAGGAGTGTGGATGATTTGGAAGTGCAGAAGCCATGGTGGATCATAAGAGGTCTATTAAGCCTTCCCTTGAAGTTGGAAGGAGAATTTGTGTAAGATCTCCCACAAATTTCTTGGTGCCAAGAGGCACAGTTCTTATTAAAGGAGAAACCATGTAATATTATTTCTTGGCATTAAGGAATAAAATTGTCCACTGAGATAAACCTTGATGAATATCCGACCCTGGACATTCTTCTATTCCTGAGCCTACTTTTATTTTGCTGTGTGCTGTTAGCTGGTCATTCTCCTTCTCATGACTTTAGTGTCCTCACAAGAAAATTGACAGCCCTGTTCTAATGTTATTGTAAGATGAGTATGAACCAGCCCTGGCTTTCACCCCCCCTCATGTGAGAATGTACTTGCTTACCGAGGCAGCACAGTGAATGGGTCTCTTCCTTCCCAGTTAGGAAACCTGCTGCCCTACAGCGACCCCAGCGTGGTGTTTGTCTTTCTGTCTGTGTTCGCCGTGGTGACCATCCTGCAGTGCTTCCTGATCAGCACATTATTCTCCAGAGCTAACCTGGCGGCAGCCTGTGGAGGCATCATCTACTTCACACTCTACCTGCCCTACGTCTTGTGCGTGGCATGGCAAGACTATGTGGGATTCACCCTCAAGATCTTTGCGGTGAGTGACTGGTGATTCAGCAGCAGCTGCAAATGCAAATCATCCCTGGGGTTCACCTCCTCTTGGCAGTCCAAGCTGAGAAAGATGAGCGTCCCTTTCCATGGCACTTGAATCTCAGTTCTGTATGCTAAGCTGCTTGAAGGTAGGCGTTGTCCTTGAATTGTCATCTTTAACCTTCTCAGTGAATGCTAGTTGAATGGAATGGAATTTTTCAGAGAGCTGGATTGTACTGTGAACCTGACTGGGGACAAAGACACTGTGGGATGCTTATACACAGTACGTGACATTTTTTACCACTTGTCACCCAACTCTGCTGAGCATCTTTGAAAGCACAAAATTCTGAAAGTTTTACACTACCATCATATGTGTATTTCCAAAATGTACGTATATAAGCAGCTACAAATAGAATCATGTTTTTATGCTTCGAGGGAACCCATTACCCTCAGTAGGTTCCGTAGGTGAATACTTCCTTATCTTATAATGGATATACTTTTAAACTTCAGATTTCTCCAGGTGGGATTTACATTAGATGGGGTAGAAAAAGGAGAGCAGCAAGGAGATGGATAAGTGACTTTGCCTCTTTCCACAGAGCCTGCTGTCTCCTGTGGCTTTTGGGTTCGGCTGTGAGTACTTTGCCCTTTTTGAGGAGCAGGGCATTGGGGTACAGTGGGACAATCTCTTTGAGAGCCCTGTGGAGGAAGATGGCTTCAACCTCACCACCTCAGTCTCTATGATGCTGTTTGACACCTTCATCTACGGGGTGGTGACCTGGTACATCGAGGCTGTCTTTCCAGGTACACTGAGCTTCATGCTGCTAAGCCATCTGCTTAGGAAATGTCACATCAAGTTGCCAACCTTTCCTGGCTTTGTGCTGAAATTTTTTACAGGGTATGGGTCTCCTTGGGAAGTGGCTAGATCTTTAGTCCCCTGGCAAAAAAGATCCTCTCTTAACTACTGATAAAGCTCTTGTTTTCTGGAGCACTATGGGCCAGGCACATCGCAAAGTGTTTTGTATACCTTGGCTCAGTTTTTCCTCATAATACTACACTAAGGGAGCTATGCTTAATACCAGATTTTGCAAATGAGAGAACACAAAGAGGTGAAGTAACTTGCCTGTGGCTACATTAAATGTTGGGGCTGGGAGGAGAAACTGCTCAGGTTACATTGGGTCAGCTAGCCAGGAGATTTCCTTTTTTCCAATGTTGATCCAGTTTTCTAACTCTCTGTTCCCAGAATTACCACTAGCCAGGGATGCTATTTCCTCAGTATAGCTTGTGGATAGTAAGTTATATTGGCTTTAAGCCCTTGTCTTTGGTTTAATCAAATTAGTATTCATAAAAAAATCATTTTGATACTTCCCGTTAATAAATCTCTTTGAGAGTGTCCTTGCATGTATTTCCATAGAAATCAAATTCTGCTAGAGTGAGTTTAACTCTTTCTGTTTTATGTAAGGGAGTATGGAAGGTAGAGGAAATTCCCTTTACCTATAATTGCTGCATTAGGTAAGCAATTTAGTATCATACAGATTTGGATTTAGATTCAGTCGCCTTCATTTAGTGGCTAAGGGACCTCATTCACGACTCATTCTTTAGTTTCCCCATCTCTAAAATGGGCATGAGATATGCATTGAGGGATCATTGCATAGACTCATCAATGTGCAGAATGTGGGTCATACATAGAAAGTCTCAGCAAATGTGAGCTCCCTCTCCCCTCTTCTCTTCCAAACCTGAGCATCTCCAAAGACTGTGTCGATGAGGGAGTGGGTCTGGCATGGATACCTTAGGAATGCTGGGATGTTGCTGAGTGTAGCTCATACCTGTGCTTTATTTCAGGCCAGTATGGAATTCCCCGGCCCTGGTATTTTCCTTGTACCAAGTCCTACTGGTTTGGTGAGGAAAGTGATGAGAAGAGCCACCCAGGTTCCAGCCAGAAGGGAATAACAGAAAGTAAGTCCTACTGATGTACCCTGCGGCTCAACCCCTGGTGTGACTGATCCCACTGACTGAGGGATCCAAAATCATTCTAGAGGCAGAGCAGACACCAGCAATGCCTCTTTCCAAAAACCTCCCATGCCACTTGTGTCCAATGCTGTTGACTGGTGGGGGAATCACCTGGGTTGCTGATGGGCATGGCCTTTATTTTCTTGGTTTCTAGCAAAGTGGCTGCTTATCTCTATTCCTTCACCTCCCCCAGGCCTCCTAGATCTTTACACTATACTTACACTCAATTTTCTGTGGGTTCATTTCTTTCTTTTGGCCTCTCCTTTCTCTTACAGTCTGTATGGAGGAAGAACCCACACACCTGAAGCTGGGCGTTTCCATTCAGAATCTGATGAAAGTTTACCGAGATGGGATGAAAGTTGCTGTTGATGGCCTGGCCCTGAATTTCTATGAGGGCCAGATCACCTCCTTCCTGGGCCACAATGGAGCTGGGAAAACCACCACCATGTAAGAGGATGGTGTGATTCTCTCAGGCTCAGCCAGGAAACTTCTGTAGTACAGTTACAAATCCACAGCTAAGGATATTGCCTGGTCACTTGGGCCAGGACAGAGCATATGAGATGATGAGTAGCAAATTATCTAATTGTAAGAATGCTTTCCAGGTAGTAGTTTTTTTCTGGATACTAATTTCTTCAGTGAAAAACAGACAGACAGCCTTTTGGTGACCTTTTCCATTTAGTTCTTAGAATTCTGCAGTGTTCCTAGAATCTCAGGCTGTGACAGCTCTGAGAGGGTCTGTTTTTGAGCTAATCTGGTCAGAACTGTGAAGCAGGGTTGTAGAAAGTTAGGTATCTCCAATGAAGGAGTTAGTAATTTCCAGGTACACTGCCTAAGCAGATGTGAGAAACAGCTGAATAGTGGGCTGGATATATGCTGGCCTTCTCTGGGACTTGCAAGGACTTTTTATGATGGGAAGCTTTAGAAGGGAGCACAGGCCATAAAAAATGCCAGTTAGGCTCGTGGCTTTCAATATAGTCTCTCAACATTTGCAAAGGGTATCTCTTTGAGGGTGGTAGTCTTTCTTGTTTTTCATCTCTGCTGTTTTTGTTAATGCAAAATCAATATATTGTGAACACTACATAAAATTTTAAAAAGGCACACAAAAATCCTACTGCCTACACAAAAATTATTTTTGTCTTTGAATAATTTGTTCTGGCCTATTTTATGTGTATATGATTTTAGGCATACAAAATATGTGTTTTAAGGTATACTTTCCATTTCAAAGTAGAATTTTTATTAAACAAAATGCTTGTTCTGGAATGCCACTTCTAACACCTAGGCCCACTCCTAGTTTTTTGCTGAAGCAAAGATGTCTTTGCTTTGTGAGGGTATGTTAGGACCCATGAGGAAGGAATGGGGGTGGGGAGGGAGGATTGAAGCCTCTGCTTGATCAGTCCTGACTTTGCAACTGGGATGGGGCTTTTCATGGACTTTTCAATTTTGTTCTCAGGTCGATTCTGACCGGGTTGTTCCCTCCCACCTCGGGCACTGCTTATATCCTGGGGAAGGACATCCGCTCTGAGATGAGCACCATCCGGCAAAACCTGGGGGTCTGTCCCCAGCATAATGTACTGTTTGACATGTGAGTACCAGCAGCAGCTCAGGAGCAGACCTCCCTGGCTGTGGGTGTCCTGAGTCATGGGCACAGTGGGACTTGAACACTTCACCTACTTCTGGGGTGGTAGGCTTCACCTCCCTTTACCTGTTGAAAGACCTGGTTGTCCTTTGTTTTAGGACAGGTAGGAAGTGAATGGAATTGTTAGGTGGGAGATCTTACATCATTCCAGCCAGCTAAGATGAAGGGTGAGGGGTGGGTTCTTCCTTACTGTCATCTTGAGCACCATTAGCCTATCCTATCTCCTGCCCACCCTCCCTGCCATCTGCAGCTCTGTGCCCAGGCCTGGCAGTACCTCAGGACCCTTCCTCCCAGGGCTGGCCATTTTCCATTCACGTTGCCCATCAGCAAATAAGGCTCCCAGGGAATGCATCTGTTGGATCACAGAAAGATCTGAATTCTCTAACCTTGGGAAAGACTATCCCTTCTGGGCTGCAATTTCTTCTTATCTAAAGTGAGCAGCTTGGGTTCATGTTTTCTACAAGGGCCTCCCTGCTGTCAGGGGCTGAGGTCCTTTGCAGTTTGGTAGAGCTGCTTCAAACCAGCACTAAACTAGCTTCTTGGCTGATGGACTGTAAAAAAGGTCCTTTGAATACCTGAGAGTTCAAGTTGCAACTGCTTGATGGTCGGTGTCCAGACGTCATAGGAACAGGTTGGCAGAATAGGTTGTCATATTTCCACTTTAGCTTCTTGTACAACTTATGTGGTTGCTTACTGTTGTTCTATCTTGATTCCTTCCCGGGTATTCTTTTTTATAACTTGATATAACATTGCAAAAAGAGGAATCGGTGGGAAATGTGCACATTCTTTTCTGTTCTGGGTCAGCATCCTGCAGGGCCCAGAGCTGACCTGCCCCTCTTGTCCCCAGGCTGACTGTTGAAGAACACATCTGGTTCTATGCCCGCCTAAAAGGGCTCTCGGAGAAGCATGTGAAAGCAGAGATGGAACAGATGGCCTTGGATGTTGGTTTGCCGCCCAGCAAATTGAAAAGCAAAACCAGTCAGCTGTCAGGTGAGGCATAGAACTGCTCTCCCTGTTTCTCCTTCAGCCCATCCCAACACACACACACACACACACACACACACACACACACACACCACTCTGCTTCTCCTTCAACTCATCCCAATACACACACACCACACTCACACACACATTAAATAAATAACTGCCCTGGGGTCCCTCGTGGGGAGTGGATGGGTCAGAAAAGTGTCCCTGACTTGTCCCTAGGTGAGTGCCTCCATTTCTGTCTTACCACCTTAGCCTTTGCTCACTGTCAGGAGCTGGTCCTGGAACCTCACTATCTCTTTCTTACAGGTGGAATGCAGAGAAAACTGTCTGTGGCCTTGGCCTTTGTTGGGGGATCCAAGGTTGTCATTCTGGATGAACCCACAGCTGGTGTGGACCCTTATTCCCGCAGGGGAATATGGGAGCTGCTGCTAAAGTACCGACAAGGTAATGATGAGTGTCTGTCCTGAGTTCTGAGTGGGCGAAGGCACGAAGCAGCTCTGGAGAAACACAGCTGTTCTTGCTAGAGCAGCAAGCTTGATTCTTGAGGAAAATACAGAACTTCTTTTCTCAAAACTGTTTTTTTCCATGGTATGGAGGTAGAGGCCTTGTGTATAAGACACTTGAAAGTTTATGTTTTGTTACCTAAGGACCTGAAAGAAGAAGAAAAATGGGAATAAAGAGCATGGCTCCCATGAGCCTCCTCTAGCATTGAACTTATACCTGAATATTATAACTTTGTTCCATGCAGCTCAAGATGCCTGACATATCTCTGTCCCTGCCATGGCGCATTAAATTTACATCTGTGGAAAGAGCAGATGTGTGAATAAATTGGTGGGAGGCACAGAGGCACATGATTTGGCAGTCTGCTTGCAGGTGTGGAAGGCATGTGAGGATTCCACCTTTGAAAAGCATGGTTTGAAAGAGCATGCACTTTGGAGCTTATCCTGACACCTTGGAAAAGTCATTCAAGTTGCCTCAGTTTCTTTATAGTAGTTATAGAGCCCACTTCATAGACAGTTAAAGTAAATGAGAAGGCACGGAGACCACTTACTTGACTGCCAGGAATATAGCAAGTTCCCCAGAAGAGTTCCTGTCCTTATTTCTGTGAGGATGGGGAAACTGTACTCAAAGTGTTCCAAGTCGTTTTCCTCTGCTTACCCCTGCTACTATTTCTGTAGCTCCCCTGAGATCAGTGAGACCCGACAGGCCTCACCTGCCCATGTCCTTGTATTTGTGCCTGGCAGGTCGCACTATCATTCTCTCCACACACCACATGGATGAAGCAGATATCCTGGGGGACAGGATTGCCATTATTTCCCATGGCAAGTTGTGCTGTGTGGGCTCCTCCCTGTTTCTGAAGAACCAGCTGGGAACAGGCTACTACCTGACTCTGGTCAAGAAGGATGTGGAGTCCTCACTCAGCTCCTGCAGAAATAGCAGTAGCACTGTATCATACCTGAAAAAGGTGAGTTGCTGTCTTGCCAGGCTAGCCCTGGGGCTGGGGCTGGATTTGTTGGGTGTGAATGGCTTGTTCTCCTCTGCTACTTGAGGTCACCATCTCCCTGCTCTGAATCCCTGCCCTTCAGAATCACATCAACTTATATAGAAAGCTCAGGAGGCCACTGTTCACTTCATGCTAGTGTCAAATCTCATTTCTTGATTCCTGTGAGGGTACAATGAGAGACGGAGAAGGTACTTAGAGTACTTCATTGTCTCAAAGAAAAGAGACTTGCCACGAGTTAAGAGCCTGGGATGCAGAATTACCTGCTATTCCTGTTCATTAGCATTAAATCTCATTGTCCCTAACTTTTATTAAACAACAAAACTGCAAATAGTTATTGAGTATTGAGTCTAGACCAGCCCTTCAGTCTAGCAGACTCTGGGCATAAAAGAAATAATGATAATAGTTAATTCTTTGTAGCATTATTATCATTTACAAACTTTAAAAAAAAATCTTAAGAACTATCATCTTAAAATACAGAGCATCTCTGGGAAGGAGATATTAACATTATTATCCAGATGAGGGAAGGAAGACTTGTAGGGGTTTGACAGTTTTGTTCAAAGCTCACCTGGCAGGTAAAATACCAGAGGTGGGACCAGAATCCAGCAACCAGGTATGTTTTCTTCTTTACCTCAATACATGCTCAAGACTTGTTTTGCATGTTCAAGCCAGTAGAGTCTGAAATATTTATATCCCAAGCCTGTTCTCTATTTACCTCAGTCCCTGGTTACTCAAAGTGTGGTCTGTAGCTTCAGGGTCCCTTGGGAGTCTGTCAGGAATGGATAAACATGGGCTCACTCACTTTCATAACCAGTAAATTCAGTAACACCTGCATTTTAACCAGGTCTCTGGATGACTAAACACACGTTAGAGCACGTTAGAGCACTGATCTAGAAAACTGGCTGGGTACATCCCAGGGTTGAGCCTGTGGCTGGAAGCCAGCACACAGTAGTTGCAGGAGCTCCCCAGTTTAGTGGCCAGTTCTGCTTTCCAGCCTACCCTCCACACAGCCGCAGGTCTCCAGTGCCTGTGAAGCCACAGCTGCCCCAGTGCATGCCTCCTAGGAGAAGCTTTTTGCTTCAGGTCTCAACAGTAGAGCCTTTTGGAAGCCCACTCTGGCAAAGGTGGTGGTGGCTGTACTTTGCTCGGTCCCTGACCCATTCTCACCTCCTTCTTTGCCATCAGGAGGACAGTGTTTCTCAGAGCAGTTCTGATGCTGGCCTGGGCAGCGACCATGAAAGTGACACACTGACCATCGGTAAGGATTCTGGGGTTTCTTATTCAGGTGGTGCCTGAGCTTCTCCCAGCTGGGCAGAGTGGAGGCAGAGGAGGAGAGGTGCAGAGGCTGGTGGCGCTGACTCAAGGTTTGCTACTGGGCTGGGGCTGGGCGGCTGGGAGAGGGTGCAGCTTGGTGGCAGATTGGCTTAACGCTTGCTGGGGAGCCTGGGCTATTTCTGGGAGCTGGCAGGGTAGTGTCACAGAAAAATACAGCTGATGGTGGTAGGGGGTGGTTTCCCTTTAGGGATGGATGTTGGAGGCCAGGGATGAGGAACTGAGGGCTAAGCCAATGGGGAGGGATTGGAGCTGAGGGCCAAAGGTGGGTCAGAGCCCAGAAGATCAGAAATAGCTGCTGGATTTTCGTCTGGAGATATGTAGAGGAGATAAGTCTTACCAGTAAGCTTATATGGAGAAGAAGCCTTTATCTTGGCTGTCGCTGCTCAGTCCTAACAGCTGCATTTTTCCAAGAAAACTTCTGCCATGACCTGCTTGATTACCCTTCTATTGCGGTAAATAAAAGTACACATCTTTAAAAGGCTAGGAAAGTGTGAAGAATCTTTTAAATTTCCTTTATTGTCGTTTTCCACTGAAGAGCCCTAGAGTTTAGGGGAGAGATACCAGGCTTTCTATCTCAAAAAGTCATTCATCATTCCTTCTATCTTCCCACCCAACTACCCACCCAGGTACCTATACATCTGTCCACCCACCCATCCACCTACCCACCTACCTACCTTTCCAACCATTCATCCATCCAGTCACTCATCTATCCATCCACCTACCTACCTCCTAGTCATTGAGAATCCATAGTGCACTAGACTTTGGTGATACAAAGGTGAATAAGGTATAGTCACTCAGGACAGAGATGATACTTAAGACTTAAGTATCTGGGGCAGCTATGGAATATGGGCAGGAGCTTCTGAAGAGTAAGTAAAGGTGGAAAGGGGCATGGCTGGCCCTTAAATGTGGGTTTTTCCGAGCAGGCTAAGCCAGTTCTGTGCTTCGCTCCCTCCAGATGTCTCTGCTATCTCCAACCTCATCAGGAAGCATGTGGCTGAGGCCCGCCTGGTTGAAGACATTGGGCATGAGCTGACCTATGTTCTCCCCTATGAAGCTGCCAAAGAGGGGGCCTTTGTGGAACTTTTCCATGAGATTGATGACCGGCTGTCAGACCTGGGCATATCTAGTTATGGTATCTCAGAGACTACCCTGGAAGAAGTAAGTTAAGTGACTGACTCAGGGATAGTCGGGCCAGTAATCTCAGTTCTAAATAGGCAGCCAGCAATCCCACTGGGAATAGGATTGCTCTGGAGCTGGCCATCTAGTCCTTAGGTTGTTGACATCTACGTTATATTGGCCCAAGTTAATCCTTCAAGAGTGTAGTGTTATACTTCACATAACAGGAAAAATGTTTTAAAACTGCTCCCTGGCATGACTGTCATGCCAGGCAGAAGAGAAGACCAATATGTATGGAAAATCTGTGCCAGGGCTGAGCTTGGTTTCCTTTGTTGTTATATCATTGCAGTTACTTTAGTCCTTGTAACAAGATGAGAAAGTTCATACTAAGGGATGCTGAGCTAGGATTCAGAATAGGGGGTTTGGGATTGCAAATCCCTTATTCTCTTTACTGGGTACTAATGCCTTCCTTTAGAGAGACTGTATCTCATATACCTCGAGGGTTAGAAGGGCTATGAAAGTTGTTTGGCCCAATGATCCCTAAGCTTGACTGTGTAATAGAATCATCTGGGGATACTGTTGACAATAAAAACTCCGAGACTCAAGCTCAGGGTCTTTTAATCAGAATTTCTGGAGGGAAGGCTTCAATGTCAGCACTTTAATGGCATGCTTCCTAGGGAGAGGTCTGTAGCTCAGAGTTTGGAAACCTGTGGTCTAGTTTAAAGTTTCTTCTGATGTTTGCATCCCTGTCATAAGATTTCTGGGATCCATTGACTTCTGTTTGCTCTGTCTTTGATAACTGATCACCATGCTAGCCTCCTCAAAAATCTGGGACATAGACTATGAACTCATTCCCTATAGTTTCAAAACACTTTTTTTTTTTTCTGCAGCAGTGTCTTAATGTTGTAGCTTTACTTTGAAAATGATTGCCTAGATTGATAGCACTCACCACTAAGGGAATGTTCTCTGGTTAAAAATGGCTTCAGTTCCAAGTGACTGCCAGAGTGTTATTATAAATGTCGCTTCTAATTTAAGGGCTAACATGCCATCAGTTATGTAATAATCCTGGTAGTAATGGGTGCTTTCATGACAGGTGCTTTTAATAGTCCCATTTACTCTTATTTTTCAGATATTTCTCAAAGTGGCTGAAGAGAGTGGGGTGGATGCTGAGACCTCAGGTAACCCCCTGGGGGAGCGGCATGCTGTCTGGGCAGCGCCACCAGCAGGCTGTCTCACCCATGTTGTGCCTTTCTCTTTGAACTGCTTCATTGCATTCTTATTTTTCATGTATAAGTTTGTTGGAGAAGCAGAGGGCTTTTTGTTAGAAATGAAATCCAATGTGGGAATCCTTCTCTTTGCCTTCAGATGGCACCTTGCCAGCAAGACGAAATAGACGGGTCTTTGGGGACAAGCAGAGCTGTCTTCGCCCTTTCACCGAAGATGATGCTGCCGATCCCAATGACTCTGACATAGATCCAGGTCTGTTTGGATAACATGTGTGCCAGTGTTGTTAGTGAATTTCTCTCCTGTTCTTCTCTGGTGCTTTCCATTGATGGCTTAGAGCCACAATCCTGGGTCCAAAGGAAGGTAGGGAAATGGAAAAAGTTACTTGCCCTTTTCCAGTGTTGCATTCAGTCAGACCTGAACAAGCCTATTTGCATCACTTCCTTTATGAAGCTGGGATCTCTCTCTGATAGCCTCTTAATCCTCAGAATCTATTATCTTTTTTGTATGTCAGATTCTGACATACATAAGGTATTTCTTTATTCAGTTAATATTCTTTGAATGGATGAATGATCTTGAAAGAGTCAGAAAAGTAAGTTTTAAAGTTAACATTGGGTTGTTGGATTAAGTCATGGCACATTTTTTGCAACAAAACACGTAGAAGAAATAGGTCACGACTTTTTTGACCACCCAGTAGTTCTTAGGTGTAGGTGTGTTCGATGAGTGTGTTCCTGCATATTTAATGGGGGTAGAAAAGAGAAGGTGAGGGAAAAAAAATGCTGACAAGATGTTATAGCACATTGGTTACAAATCATGAGTTTAAGATAAGGATTTTTATGGAATTTTTAGGAAAACAATTCCAAGATGAAGCCATAGAGGGGAACATGATGTCTGAAACATGAGCTATTAGCTGACCTTCAGTGTTGACTTCTTGTAGAATCTAGAGAGACAGACTTGCTCAGTGGGATGGATGGCAAAGGCTCCTACCAGGTGAAGGGCTGGAAGCTCACACAGCAACAGTTCATGGCCCTTTTATGGAAGAGGCTGCTGATTGCCAGGCGGAGTCGGAAGGGATTCTTTGCACAGGTAAGACGTGCTGTGTAGGCCAAGGACTCAGCTTAATGGGTGGGCTGCAGGCCTCCTGACCACTGAAGGCAGGACCGCATCATGTTATTTTAGTCCCAGTTCTGCCTCTTGTTAGTGGGCAAGTTATTCTTTGGGTCTCAATCTGCTCATATATTTAATGGGTGTAAAATGAGTATCTGTGATACAGGATTATGAAGATTAAAGTGAGTCATGCTTAGAATTGTCATTATGTGAATAGTTACTTATTGGAGGAAATGGATGTGAGTTTATTATAGAGAGAGCATATAACATGGACAAAGTCTAAAAAAACTGGCTGGGCAAATTAAACTTAGATAACCTGAGAAGTGATATATGCAGGTGGACTTGATATATGAATTTATTGGAAACTTGATTTTTCTCTAAGTTGGTGTTTCATTACAAATTGATAGAAGAGATACAAAATAGAGTCTTCTGTATTGTGGGTAGTGTAAAGATTATATAGGTAATGCCAAGACTATTTGGGCTTGGAGCATACAGAGCTGGATTTGAATTTTGGTTCTGCTAATTATTATTTGTATGGCCTTGGGCAAGTTGCTTAGTATGCCTGAGCCTCAATTACCTTGTTTGTTGATGGGTGATAATGCAACTGCTACTTCGGATGGTAATGATAATTAAATGAGATAACTTTCAGGTTAGTACTTTCCACAGAATTAATCACTCAGTGATAATTTTCTACATGGAAACCCCAGAATATTACAACTAAGGGCATCATTTGAATCTTCTAATTTTATTTTTTAAGGAGGATAACATTCTCAGCAATAAATGGAAGGAACTTAGGGTTTCCTTATAAAGTATGTACAAGTCATTGTTCTCAGAAAACATGTGGGTATAGTATTTGAGGAGGCACAGGGATGATTTAGATAATATGCTTCTAGAGCCATCACTGGACCATTGGTGTGCTGTGTGTTTTGCAGTGTGGCACCTGAGAGGGTCACCTAGTCTCAATCCACAGGTTATAAATGAGGAAACCGAGGTCAGTCTCTACACTTTAGTAGAGACTGAACCAAGCTTTAGGTCTTCTGGTTTCTGCTCCACAGGGCTGCTTTCTAGCCTCCCTGTAGGTGGAGCTGGGCTCATGGCCAGTGTGGGCTTCCTCAGGTCTTCAGACACCCTGACTTGTACCAGTGTTCACTCTCTGGAGTCTTCAACATGGTGCCTCTTCCTGGTGCCCACGTGGCCTCCACCCTGATGCTGTCAGTTTCCAGAAATGGCCTGGTGGGTGGAGGCTGAGTCTCTAGGCTCCTTTGTCTTCAGGCCCCCTGGAATGTCCTGGCGGAGCTCCGCGATGGGCCCTGTACTCCTCTCTGCGTGCTTGCTGGCCCAGAATGCTGGCTGAGCACATTATGCTTGCCCCTTGGTATTTTTTTGCTAAAACTCCCTCTTCTCCTAGCTGCCCTATTCCCTCTCTACCTTGGTTATAGATTGTCCTGCCAGCTGTGTTTGTCTGCATTGCCCTGGTGTTCAGCTTGATCGTGCCCCCCTTTGGCAAGTACCCCAGCCTGGAACTTCAGCCCTGGATGTACAGTGAGCAGTACACATTTGTCAGGTATGTGTTTATCTTCTGTGTCTAGGGGGAAAGGATACTAGGGAGACCAGGGGGTTTACTGTGCTGTGGCCCACAGAGCTCAGGAATTACATGGGGAGATGGATTTTATCAGCTCAGTGTGGCTCTAGCTCCTACACAATTCAATATTGGCTGCAAAAAATAGCAGTGAGCAAACTTGGAATAACACCCTAGTCTCCTATTTCTGCACTTGAGTTCATTTTTATACTGCTGTTGCCAGGAACAGTCATATGTGTCTTACATAAATAATCTGTACTTGCATAAAAAAAGAAAAAAACTGTGATTTAGCTATAATCTTTGAATTTTCATAGCTATGCTTTAATTTTGAAATTTAATCATAGGGCTTCCATATACTATCAGAAGCATTGTATCTCTAGGTTCTTAGTTCTACACTGTGCAATTGATGTATTTATTAAGTTGTAGATTTTCTAGTGTTTTTTCTTTAGTCAAAAATGCCAGAAAATCCAGTGCCAGTGCTTCAAACAAAAGACAAAGGGATTTCTCCACCTTTTTACATGGGATTTTCTTCAGTCCTATACTATACTGGGGACTTTTGCATGGGATAAGTGTGTCATGATGTAAAAGAGAAGCTTTAAAAAAAATTAGAAAGTATGCTTGTGAGTTGGTCTATTTCTTCCTGACCTTCCCACCCATTTTGCCTTCCTGTTTTGTTTAGGTTTATTTTATCTTTCTTTTCTCAGTTCTTGACCCAGTATTTCTTGAGTCTGTACAACAGGAACCTATTTTGTGTCTATAACCTGTACTCATTATTCTTTGTGTTTTCTAGTTGTTGATGCAAACATTTAACCAGTCACATGTTTGCCCTTTCTTAGAAAATTCCAGTGGTCTCTGCCTAATGGATAATTGTGAAAGTACTTTTTAGATTGTCAGTTGTTAATGGTTTCTTCATAATAACTGTATATCTACATATGTGACGTGCATATATGTCTGAATTCACACTTGCATACCTCCATACATTACTTATTTATGCAAGCCCTTCCTTTGCGTGCTCTGTTACCTTGGTAACAAATATGTGGTCAGAATCTGAGGTTAATATTAGTTTTATCTGAGGTGTTATTAGTTTTATTTATTTATTAGTTTTATTCATTTTTGTTTTCAGAGCAGTATAGGAAGTGCCTAATGAAGTGTTTTATGTAGAAAAAAAATCACCCCCTAATTCCTGGCTCACATGTTGCTGAGCTTGCTGTCTGTCCTGTGTCCACAGTAACGATGCTCCTGAGGATTTGGCCACCCAGGAACTCTTGAACGCCCTCACCAAAGACCCTGGCTTTGGGACTCGGTGTATGGAGGGAAACCCAATTCCGTGAGTGCCACGCAAACTGTGAAACCCTTTATGCTTTCTTGTGCCTGTCACCTGGTTTCATCTCTGATATGCCTCACTTACTAGCTGTGATAAATACTACAGTGTCACTACCATCATTTTTCCTTTGAACGATTGTCACTTTATAAAAGCTAATGTAGTAATCAAATTAAACCAGCTAGGAACAACATGTCAGAGTAAGGGGATTTTCTAACATCCTTCTGAGTAAAGGGATGTTCTAACATCCTTCAAAGAGACACATGAATGTTTGCTGTTCTAGAAATTAATGTTTAATTTAAAGTAACACTTTATACTTATTGAACAAATGCTTTTGCCTTCTTCCCTCCCCCCTAACTCCTGTAGCTCAGGGCAGAGCATAAGCTGTCACTATATATAATTTTCAGTTTTGCTTATCTTCATATTCTTCACTTTCCAACCTGAAAAGATGTGTTAATTTCAGTGACAATGGACTATTCTTCTTTTAGAGTTGCGTCGTACTTGCTTCAAAACCTTTTTCAAGCAAGTAGGCATTGTATAAATAAATTCAGTGGCATACCCATATGACTCTAAATGGGTATCTGGGTGTGGGAGGTATGTTCTAGGATCTTGGTGAGTAAAGACAATGAAGAGAGATGAGGCTCTTCCCCTTAGTCATAAGCTGACAGGTTAGTTCAAGTTTCCAGTCTCATGTAGCAAGTTTCCAGTCTCAAGTTTCCAGTCTCATGTTGATAAACCACACACTCTGAGAAACTGTGGACTATGGGTTGATACTGGTATACCAGAGGAGGGCGACCTTGAATTCCAGGTTCTCCATTCTGCAAGTGACACGTGAATGAGTGTGATAACTATATACAGGATTTTAAAAACGACTTCTAAGTGGACAGCTGCTATTTACTTGCTACTCTTATTAAGGGCACAATTAACATCTATTAGTACTTGCTCGTCAATAGGAAGTATATCCTAACAGCCATTATTGGTTCTTAAATATCACAAGGACCAAGGTAGAGAAGGATGTAAAGTCATTCTATCTGGATATCACCAAACTTCTGATGATATTCCACTTGGAAGTTTGGTAAGCAAGATAGAAGAATGAGATGAGATGATAATAGAGTGGGTTAGATTCATCTCACACCAACTGACAGTATAGACTCACAGACAGATAATGCCAACCCAGGAAGGATCTGTGAGATCCAGCTCTATTCTCAGCTGACCTACAGAGACAAAAGAGGCAGAGACTTTGTCTTCTTCACCCACCCCAGACTCTCAGTTACAGTTTAATGTGTGACATATAGTAGGCTCTCGGTGAATGTTGAGTGAAAACAGGGGTAAATGACTGAAATACTGATACAGTTCAGTATATGAATATTTAAAGCCTCTACATGTTCCATCATCCATATCTGTAAAATGAACTTAGAATGTGTGGAGGACTCAAATAACCAAAGGAGATTACGCTCATGGTTTCCAAAAGTGAGAGGGATAGACACATATTTATGATAGTTGTTGATTGGTCCTGTGTTCCCAAGGCAACAGGAAAGCCAGGCCCTCTCTGTTGATCCTGACCTGATGCCATTCCTTTGCAGAAACATGCCTTGCCTAATGGGGGAGGAGGAATGGACCACCACCCCAGTTCCTCAAACCATTAAGGATCTCTTCCAAAATGGGAACTGGACCATGGAGAACCCCTCACCCACCTGCCAGTGTAGCAGTGACAGAATCAAGAAGATGCTGCCTGTGTGTCCCCTGGGGGCAGGGGGGCTACCTCCTCCACAGGTGAGTCACTCTCAGGGTGTGACTGAGAAGATAGGAGTCCTTGGTGGGCTGGGAGCTTCTGCTGGGGATGAAGGAATGACTAATAGTTCATTGGGAGGGTTTGTCTGTCTCCATTCGTGTTACAGGGAAAAACATGTGAGCTTTGAGGGAAGGGGACTTGGATCTTGATGTTCCTCTATCTGAGGGTGCTTAGCTGGCTTCTGATCCTGTCTGAGATTCCACGTGTGGGAGCAGTTCTGAGCTATTTTTTTCTGAGAACAATTTTAGGAAGAGGCTTATTGTGCTAAGTATCTCTGTTGCTTTATTCACATCCAAGTTTCAGAGTGAGGATATAAAAACTTATGAAGTTTGTTACCTCATTTTTAAATAACAGCTAATAGAATTCTAATTATAACTCCAGTGAATAAAATAATTCACTAGGTGTGGTGCTGCTCCCTTAAAACCTTTTGCATCAATAGAGTCACATTTTACTGTCTCATGTACAATTGTTCAGAATAGTTTCCTCAGCAACAGCTTGTCTTGGTTTAAGTGAAGGGCCAGCACTGAGGTAGGATGCACCTGTCATGGTGGTTGACTGGTGGCTGACCTGGGCTTAAGGGCAGAGTCCTGTCAGGCTGTAGTATATGTTTGAAGGAACTTTGTCACTGTATTCTTTGCCCCTTATCCAAATGATGGTCATAAATACACTTGTGCTTGGTTTTTCTGTGATAACAGATAAAACAGAACACGGCGGACATCCTTCAGAACCTGACGGGAAGAAATATTTCAGATTATCTTGTGAAGACATATGTGCAGATCATAGCCAAAAGGTCATTATTCACTAAACGTGACTCTTGTTTTTATCAATACTGGTTAGAGAAATTAGAGGCCTAAAATTAGTCAATTAAGGGGTGGGGGAAGAATGCCTTATGTGGCTCATGTTGCCTTCTCCCAAACTAAAAAAATAAGTACTATAAACATGTCTGTGAGCTTCAAGGTTGACCCTGCCTGCTAATGTTTTTTTTGGTTTTTGTTTTTGTTTTTGTTTTTTTATCAAAACCTAGCCATTTATAACACTTTATGGATGAAAACATCTGTAGTTTTGGGGGCACATTATAATTGGGGATAGTTCATGTGAAATGTTTTAATGTACCTGATAACTGCCGGGAGCTAATGCTCAGCTTTATGACGACACGCAATGGCACTTCAATTTACTACATGCTTACAGCTTTTTTTTTTTTAATTTATCTATGTTTACAGAACTGGGGTACAGGCCAGAAGTGTGGGGGGTGAGAGGATTTACCAGAGACAGAGTGAGGAGCAGAACAGGCAGATCAATTGAAATACATTGCTGAGGGGAGCAGCGGGTGGGACACAAGAAGTCTGCTGCCCCATGTGGGTCACTTCCAGGGCGGGGACCAAACTCATGCTGAAACAGCTGCAGCCAGGTTCATGGTGCTGTGCTTTAATCAGTTGTGCCACCAGGAGTGCCCAAAAGCATGATTTTCTTATAAATATAAAATGATTTAAGATGGAGAGCTTCTTTCCTTTGGTAAAGCTTTGCTACTGTAGCCTGATCACAGGTTTATTTCTTCCTTGTGTTGCAACCTCAAGTACATACTTAGTCCTTTTGTGACATCAGGAATAGGAGGAATAAAGTTTCTTTGAAATGACTTATAGTTTATTTGTCTTTGGCTTCTGCAGCTTAAAGAACAAGATCTGGGTGAATGAGTTTAGGTAAGTAGACCACTTTTTCTGCTTTCTTCTGTTTTCCTTATCCTGCAGTTCAGACAGTGATTTCAGTGAAGTTATCTTGACTACCAGGTAGCGGCCGGTTTGGGGTTGCTCTGGCTATAGTGTTTTTGCTAGTGCCCGCTTGCCACTTCATGGACCTTTGGCATTTGGCACACTCATTTCCTTGAGGAGAGTTGGAAGTTTCTCAGGGGTCTAGGGATTTAATAGGAAGCACAGTGTTGTGTGGGAAGTAGGATAGTTACATTTCCCCCAAATCAGAGTCCCAAGGATCAGGTCTTTTCCTTGAAATCAAGAAGGGCTCAGGTGAAATTAGAGATCTCAAAGCCATTTATTTTCATGGCACTCGAATTCATTTATCCCTGTAGGTTTTGAAGGAACAGGTGGGATTTTGCAAACAAAAAACCCTTGAGGTCAATTTATACCTCATGAAAAGTGAACTACTTATTTGGCCACCTTAAAACTGAGCCTTCTGTCACTGCTTCCCATATTTCCTCCTTGTCTTTTTTTAGTGGGACAACACCCATATAACTGAGCAGAGCAGAAGGCGAGCCCTCGATCAGCACATTTGCTAGTAGAGAGCCAGGCTGTCTTCAAGCCCTTCCTAGCCTGTTCTGACCAGGGTCCCTCCCTACTCATCCTGAATCCCTGTCTGCTGGCCTTGAAGTTCAGGTTCAGGCCTGAGCTGTTTGGCTTATAGGAGCATCTGTGAGTGGAGTGACCATTCCTCCCTCAGTGTCTCACTGTATCATTAGGCCCGTGCCCCTTCCTTGTGGACAGTAACCATGAGAGGTAAGAGACTGCCAGAGTTCCTTGGAGAGGGGCAAGCTTAACCCTTTCTAACTTTGGTCCTCCTTTGACCTAGCAATGAAAAGGAAGCCTGCACATACTCCAGTGGGGTCTGCTGCTGAATGATGCTGTGTACTAGTGTTTAATGTCAGGCTGTTCATTTAGGTATGGTGGATTTTCCCTGGGTGCCAGTAATTCGCCATCAGTTCCTCCAAGTCATGAAGTTAATGATGCCATCAAACAAATGAAGAAGCACTTGAAGCTAGCGAAGGTACTGTATCCATCCTGGGGCATGTCAGATAGATGGGCCCAAAGTTACTGGTGTTTGGGAGTAATTGGCAGGTAAATCTAATCACTTTGCCTGTTGTTGTTAAGATTTTTTAAATACAAAGCCATTCTTGGCATTCAGTGATCTCACGCCAGCCAACTCTGAACTTAGTGTATATTTAGTATCTGAAAGGTTAGCTCAAGAACAAATTCAGAGATTTAAAGGCCCTGAGAATAACTTGTTTATCAATTTAGCCAGTGGGTAAGTAAACTGGGCTTCAACTCTCCTTTTCTAAAACAACCAATGGCTAAAAGAGTCATGGATCATTTTCTTTAAATTCGTAGCTGGGTTCAGGACCTGAGAAGTACTCATTCATTTCTCTGTATTTCAGGTTTAAATGAGACTAGGGGAGCTCAGATGACATGGACTCTAGGATCATGGGCATCAGCAACAGTCTTAGAATCTGTATCTGATTTTGAGGTGCAGACCTCACATGTCTGGCTCGTTTGTATATTGAGTGTAGTTTTGGGGCTGGGATGACTCCGAGAACCTGTGGAAGAATTCTCAGCACCCAGTTATAGCCAGACATCTATGTTTTGGGACTTTGAGTCCCAAGGTACCTGATTCCCTTAAGTAACATCAGTGATTTAGATTTCTGGCTTCTTGTTTCTTAGGAACCAGTTAGCGAGTGGTTTCAAATTTAATTTCAATAAAAAAGGCGGCAGTGATGTTGCCCTTCCCAGGGTTTGCCAGGCTCCCTTCCTGTGAACTGTCCCAACTGAGCGGTTTCTTTTGTTCACAGGACAGTTCTGCAGATCGATTTCTCAGCAGCTTGGGAAGGTTCATGACAGGACTGGACACAAAAAATAATGTCAAGGTAAAGCACTTTGTTCTCATAGCTTTTTGATGAACAATAAAAATGTGTGCGCTGAAGTGCTTTTCAGTTCATGATAATGCAGGTAGAGAGATTTGTGAGGGAAACAAACACTTTTAGTTGCTTTGCTTTCCAGACACACTACGTGCATTACTGTGACTATTACTTAACCTTGACCAAATTGCTTAACCTTTCTAAGACTCAGTTTCCTAATCTATAGAGCTGGTGATCACAACTGTCTTAAAGAGGTGGTGAAAATAGTCAGCAGTGTCTGGCTGCACAGTCAGTGCTCAGTCTAGCTCAGCTGCTGTCATTTTGCTTTGTTCTCTGACTATTCTGTCTTTCCTTGGCATTTGACTGGAATTTCTGAAATTTACATGCATGTTTGTGTGTGCACCTACCTTCAGAAGCAGGATCTGGGAGCATGACCTTATACCTGGTCTATCTGATTTCAGGTATGGTTCAATAACAAGGGCTGGCATGCCATCAGCTCTTTCTTGAATGTCATCAACAATGCCATTCTCCGGGCCAACCTCCAGAAGGGAGAGAACCCTAGCCAGTATGGGATTACTGCCTTCAACCACCCCCTGAATCTCACCAAGCAGCAACTCTCAGAAGTGGCCTTGTAAGTGGGACTGTGTCTAAGTGGGTGTGGTGAGGGGCGGGGGATAGGGTCTCTGGGGAGTCCTGGAACAGGGGAAGCTGGTTGTCGAGTACCTATTGGGGATATTTGCACTAGGTATGTCTGGGTTGATTGACACTCTGAGCAGAAAATGATCAATAGATGAATTGGCAGGCAGGCATGACGCTGTGGAAGGTAGAAAGTGACTCCGATATGTTAAAACCATTGCGTTTAGTGAATTCTCTGAAGTGAAAAATTTTGTCAGTAAAACCCTAAAACACTTTTACTTTCCTTTAACACAGTGTTTAATAAAAAGTCAGTTTTGTTTGTTTTGTAACTACTATTTCAAAATTTGGTACAACTGTGTTTTTAATTCCTGAATTAAGCATGTGTCTGTATGAAGTTTTAAGTTAGTATGAGTTAGTTCAAAGTAGAGTCATAGAGGGCTGTGTTTGGGTCTGGTTGCTGAGTTCCTAGAGATAATGAGGTTAAATGAGGCAACTCATGTAAATTACCTGTTGGTGTCAGCACAGTGTTGATATTCAGCCCACGTCAGTGCTTTCCTGTGTGTGGAGCATTGCAGTTACTGTTTCTATTAAATTCACCTAGGGTATCAATATATGTCACTAGGATCGTTAAATCAAATTTATATAAAATTTATATATATATACAGTTATACCCTGTTTAATGGTCTTATAAAACTGTTCTTAAAAGAGTCTGCTAGAATTTTTGTGTTAGATTGATATGCTCACACTGTTGTTTTCAAATTTACTTAGGGCTTTTTGACTTGTTCCACATTAACATTTCTACTTTAGTTTTCAAACTGCACTAGTTCTGTATGAGTAAACGAATTGCTCTTATAAAGCCTGTGTGTGTGTGTGTGTGTGTGTGTTTAATGGAACAAAATGAGTGCTACTAGGCCATTCTTTGGCTGCCTTAACGCGTTTTGTTATGGCAATGGACTCTCATTGACTTCAGTGAAATCACTTTTGCATTTTAACTGTCAGGTTATTTGCTATTTTATTTGCCAGTAATCATCTTTAACCCTGATAAATGTATTTGGTGAGTGGATATTCTGTGTCCTCAACTGTATCAGTGACCCTGCAGAGCCTCACTATCCTTTTTTCTTCTTCAGGATGACCACATCAGTGGATGTCCTCGTGTCTATCTGTGTCATCTTTGCCATGTCCTTCGTCCCAGCCAGCTTTGTGGTGTTCCTGATCCAGGAGCGGGTCAGCAAGGCCAAACACCTGCAGTTCATCAGCGGGGTGAAGCCTGTCATCTACTGGCTCTCCAATTTTGTTTGGGATATGGTAAGAACACTGACTGCTGCTGATTTAGAAATCTCCAACAGAGCTAGTGATTGCAGGAAAGCTCCTGGCTCTCACTGGGGTGTGCTGTAGCTAATCTGAAGATGAATGAAAAAGGAATAGGCAGACACAGTTGTTCATGCCCATGACACCAGACATGATGTTAAATACAGAGACGATATCACACCAGAGAGAAAATCTGTCCACCCTGTGACTGAAGTAATACTACCACTAGCAACAGTACTGCTAAGTTCCTAAGGGAAAACTTCCCAAAGAAATACTGAGGCAGCAAACTTTTAGTCAAAACTCCACCCTACTTTGCTTGGTGGGTTTTAACTTTCAGAATCAGAGTATTCTTTGCCTTGCTGGGAAATACTTCGGTCATTTGAAAACTATACACTTTACTGGAAGTTTGCCCGTCCATTGTAAAATTAATTTTGTATTAGCCTGAATTGTTTCAGGTTTGGATCAATATGGAGGGATTCAAAAAATTCTGAGGGATTCTAATTTCTCTAAAGTGGAGTTGAAACATATCTCTGTGAATTCATTGAATTATAAACCATAGAGAACAAATTTAATTCTTATCCTAGTACACAGCCACTTGGATATTGAAAGACAACTTTCATTTAACCCAAGCCATCCCCAGATCAGATGATGTACGAGAGCACACTTCATAATCTCCAAAGTACTGTACAGATGCAAGTGATGATGACAATGATGATGTCTCTGCTGAGGCTAGCAGGCCTCTCGGCCCTGGTCTGCCTGCCTTTCTGTGGCTGTGCTCCATATTGTTAATGTCCCTTTTGAAACACAAAGACTGGAATTAGCCATGTGTTCAGGCTGTTCAGGTCTGAATAGCCATGACTCTGGGGGAGTTGGTCTTTATTCCATTCTTCTGTTACCCACCCTAAGGCTAATGCATTTTGGAAGTGGCACTGTCTTACTGGCAACTTGCTGGTGAACTAGAATCTCCATTTTACAGGAATGATTGTTGAATGGGATCTCGTTCATTTTGGGCTAATGTAATTGTTTTTCTTGGATCCAAACTTTATATTTATCCCTGTTAAACTGAATCTTATTTAGTGTCCATTAAAAAAAAAAAGGTCTAGTAATAATAAAAAAAAAAAAAAAGGTCTAGTAATTACCATTCTCTAAACACATATTTAGTGTCTGACTGTGCCAGGCCTAAGAGATTCAGAGATGAACTATCAAGTCCCTCAGGGACTTCACTTATCTCCCAGTCTCTTATCTGCCCCTCCCTGATTTACAGCCTCTGAAATTCACTGTAAGCATGCCTTTAGCAAAGTTGTTGATAAACACATTGAATGGATGGGACTGGAGAGAGCCCTGAGGTCTGACGCTGAAAATTCTTCTACTAGCTGACAAACCCATGTCACCTTCTCTGCGTGTGCTTTGCTCTGCCAGCAATGAATTTTCATAATTATCCCCATGGTCAGGTCTTTATTTCTGCATTTTAATGGTTGATACACTGTCAGGACATACTTTAAGATTATTCGCAGCGTGATGAAACAATTCTGACATTCATGTTATAAGCACTTGCCTCATAAATAGATTACATGTGAGATTGATCTCGGGCCGACTATAGTACAGCATTAATGATGAGACACGCAGTCATCTTTGGGAAGAATAATGGAAGCTTATTTGCTGCCTGTGAAATTGAAATTACCCTGACTGGGAATCCATCGTTCAGTAAGTTTACTGAGCATGACACCTTGGCTTAGCTGTTGGAAAGACAGAAAGGGCATGCAGTTTATAAAATCAGCCAAGGGTAAAATGCTTGTCAAAATGTATTGTCCAGTATTTTGATTAATAGTTTACATGGCCTCATTAAATCAAAGATATTCTTCAATATGTTTATCTGCCCTTTCCTGTCTGATGATAGTGAAGACTTGGAATGTGTTGTATCTTTGATGTGGGGGTCAACTTGATTCCTTTGTTTCACTTTCAGTGCAACTATGTGGTCCCTGCCACGCTGGTCATTATCATCTTCATCTGCTTCCAGCAGAAGTCCTATGTGTCCTCCACCAATTTGCCTGTGTTAGCCCTGCTACTTTTGCTGTATGGGTAAGGCAACTGTGGATGGGGGATGTCAGTGGGGAAGGCATAGAGGATGCCAGTGTCAGAGGGAGATACCTAATGGACATTTACCTTCGTGCCTCACAGGTGGTCCATCACACCACTTATGTACCCAGCATCCTTTGTATTCAAGATCCCCAGTACGGCCTACGTGGTCCTCACCAGTGTAAACCTCTTCATCGGGATCAATGGTAGCGTGGCCACTTTTGTGCTGGAGCTGTTCACCAACAATGTGAGTTCTCCAGAAAGAGCGCCTCCTTCTGGGATGAGGTCCCTGGAATTCAGAGGGTCTGGTTGCATCATCATCTTGTTCTATTTGTGTGCATTGGTAACACCACAAATTAATTACCCTGTCCTTTTTCAGATTCTCTCTTCCCTGGAGTTACATACCACTTGTCTCCTATTCCTTATAAGTGTCTGTTCAAACTTCCAGTTTCCTTTGACAATTTTTTTTTTAAATATTCCTTTCTGATTAAATGTTGCTCTTCCCAGTTTTTAGTTCTCTGCCATCTCTGCTTTCCACTTTAGAATATATTTCTGGGCATTGCTGGAGGCTTTTCCCACCACCTCTCTTTGTCTTACTTTGTCCTCTCAGATCTATGCCTTCAGCCCTGACAGTCTCCTGAACTCTGATCTCACATTCTTAATTGCTTTCAGACAATTTACAGATACCCCAGACTCATCCTAATTACCCCTTAGAACCTACATTTTTCTTGCCATCCCTTCCACCCTAGATGGTAACTGGCAGCTGTTAACTTTTCTTCTACACTTTGCTTTTGCTTCTTTCTCATATTCAATTGGTTAATTTGTTCATTCTTCCAAGCGCTGTTCTCTTAAATAAGATTCCCTGTCTACTTCTGTTGTCATTGCCTCTCTTCAGACACCTCACCTCAGTGCACACAGACTTTCAGAGGTGGCTATACCTTCCTGGCCAGTTCCCTGACACCCTTTCCCTGAGTCACTGGACATGTCAGCTGAGTCCCTTAAACCTGCCATAGTCCTGTAGGCTCAAATGCCCTTTGTCTATCACAGTCTAGCAGTATCTCTCTCACCCTTTAAGAAGAGTGAGCTAGAATATGAAGGTTTTCCCACTGCCTTATAGGAGGTGCTCTTACTCTTCTGCTCCTAGAGCCCTCAGCTCGTGTCTCAGGACAGCACAAATCCAACTCAGTACCAGATTCCTATTCCTATGGTCCTCTTCCTCAGCATAGAGATTGGTTCTTAATAACCATTGCCTCTCCCGTGCTTTAGCAAAGTGCATCCAGTACATGGCAGTTTACTCAGTTGCTGGGTATTTGCCACAGCTGGCTTGATAGATTCGAGAACTTTTAAAATTCCAGCAAAATCCTGAAACTGAAATATTGACCCATACTTGAACAAGTTGCTTTTAGAATGCTAAGCAAATATTTTGTCACGTTATTTGCTTCTGATTAAACATCACCATGTTTCTAAACTTTACCCATATTTCCCTATCATCATTATGTAAATCCCACATTTTCTAAAGTATAGAACTGTATTGTGCTATCTGTCATTAGCTGTGGCTGCTGTTTATTGCTATCTGAATTAAAGCTTCAGTTTGGTCCTGGGGAATCAATAGTTAGCTGCACTCACCTACTTGAGACTTTGGTAAATTTTTAGCTTAAATCATGAATAGCATTTAGTCTTCTTCTCTCTTGCTTATTTTCTAGAAGCTGAATAACATCAATGACATCCTGAAGTCTGTGTTCCTGATCTTCCCACACTTTTGCTTGGGACGGGGTCTTATTGACATGGTGAAAAACCAGGCAATGGCTGATGCCTTGGAAAGGTTTGGTGAGTGACATCAGGGCCAAAGAGATGCTTCATCAAGATGGCAGTTTGCATAGACCTTGGTGCTCTGGCCTTTGTTTTTGCAAAGAGACTGATGACTGGGCACAGGACTTCTCAGATAGGTCACATGATAGCACAGTTGGCTGTGACATGGTTTTGAGACACATCTGTGTGTGCCTTTGAGAACATCAAGAACATAAGGTGGGGGGGTTAAGTTTGGAAGTAGGGAAAATGTATTAGCTTGAACACAGTGCCTGATGGCAGTGGTTGGATTTTTCATTGGAAAAGTCAAACAACAGCTTTGACAACTAGATAAAGGACAAATAATCAGGAGAGATGCAAACTTGTGCTTTATGAAGAAAACATAAGGCAGATGTTACCATATGTTATTTTTACACCATCTATAAAAAGATAATTTACTGTAACAATTTCCACCTTTTAGAACCTTTATAAGTATCTCTCCTGTGGCTGCTCTATCCCACTGGCTTATATGGCTTATATTGCTTATATTGTTATATGAGCCATGTTATTTAAAGCACATAGGAGAGAGACCATTGCCCAGCCTGTCTCCCTCCCCTCAGCCTGGTGATACATAAGGAATTTAAGAGATACTTATATAAAACTAAGTTATTAAATTCAGTTGCTACATTACTGAAAGGGGCATTATTTTTAAAGTGCTTTCTGATCCCAGTGGAACTTGTAACTTGTTAAAATACCCACAAATTATCCATGGATTGTCTACTTTTTTACAAAAGATTTTGACACACTCATTAAAAAGGAAACATTAGCTATTGTAGATGATGTAGCAGATCTAATATGTTGACCTGATTTGCAGTCTGTCCCCTCAAAACTTACTTCAAATCAGACTTGGAAGGTGGCTACTCCCTTAGTTTTTTAGTCTCCTCATGGGTGATAACCACTGGTGTTAACAAGGAAGGGAGGTAAATTTGAACCTGAATTTAAAGAAAGGTCATGGTCTTTGGTGCATCCATCATGAACTAGATCTCTGCATTGTGTCTGCTAGGGGAGAATCGCTTTGTCTCGCCACTCTCGTGGGACCTGGTGGGCCGAAACCTCTTCGCCATGGCTGTGGAAGGAGTGGTGTTCTTCCTCATCACTGTTCTAATCCAGTACAGATTCTTCATCAGGCCCAGGTGAGCTTTTTCTCAGAACTCACAGAACACCTGCTTGAGGGTCACAAGAGAAGCAGCACATGGAATTCACCCATCAGTGGTGACTGGACTGAATTGAACTCAAAGCAGATAGTCAAACTCTTTCCTAATGTGGGGGCCTCACAGGAAACTGGAGAGTAGATTTCATAGGATTTCTTTCAACGTGGACCTTTGTCTTGAAAAATAAAATGTGCCTGAAGGAGAAAGACACATACCAGATATTGTTTCTTATATGTCAAGTCTAGTGAAACCAAACAAAAGTCAGACCAACCCTTGAGAGCTGACCATTGAACTAAGGCAGTTGAGGGGGAGAGAGGAGGAGGGAGGTGGGGAAAGAATAGGCACAATGGACTCTAGTGGAGGACTGCGGGTGTGTGTGTGGTGGGTGCACTGTGGTGACTGATGGGGGAGGTCCTGTGTATCCAAAATACTAACAGGGACACATGGTGGTACTTCAATGAAAAAAGAAAGGACAAAAAAGAAAAATAGCTGAAAAGGTTGATTTTTCTTCAATTTCCTCCTAAGACCGGTAAAGGCAAAGCTTCCTCCTATGAATGATGAGGATGAAGATGTCAGACGAGAAAGACAGAGAATTCTTGATGGTGGAGGACAGAATGATATCTTGGAAATCAAGGAACTGACAAAGGTGAGTCAATGAGGACAGGCTGTAAGACTTTATGTTAGAAACTAGTATTTCACTGACTTGCATGGAAAAAAAAAAAAAAGCATGCATGCTTCCCCAAATGTGTATCTTTACCAAGCTTCTGTCAATTTAATTTTACTTTAAATGCCCCATGGGGACTTTTTTTTTTTTTTTTTTTAAAGATTTATTTATTTATTTGTGCATACAGAACTGGGGTACAGTACCAAGCTTCTGTCAATTTAATTTTACTTTAAATGCCCCATGGGGACTTTTTAATTAAAGAAATCCTATTGAGAATACTTTTGTAATGTGAATTCTCATTCTTAAGTATATTTGTTTTTCATACTTACATTTATTGTTAGTTATTAAAACATACTAATATTGTATTCTAGTCAAAGAATATATAGTTGATGTTCAATTTCATTGTCCAAAAAGCTGGTAAGTCTCCATTGCTCAGTAGGAGAGGCGTTTTCAGCCTTTGCCAACAGCTTACATTTTTTGTGACAGATGGAATCTTTTGATTACAAATTTTTATTCATTAGAACTTGATTTTTATTTTTTTTAAACAAGCAGGTGTTTTTTTTTTAAGATTTATTTACTTATGCACACAGAACTGGAATATAAGCCAGAGGCATGGGGAGGGTAAGAGGATTTACCAGAGTGGAGAGAAGAACAGGGGGATAGACTGAAATACACTACTGAAGGGAGCAGTAGGCAGGTCAGGAGAGGTCTGCTGCACCATGTGGGTCAGCTCTCTGATGGGGGATCGAACTCATACTGCAGTGGGTGTGATAGTGCTGTGCTTTAACCTGAGGGGCCAGAACTTTATTATTTATTTATTTATTTATAACAGTTTATTTTTACATCATTTTGTACATTTTTTTTTCTATCTCAATTGTAATCCCTGCAGGTTTCCCATCACCAAGTCACCTGTGTGCCATCCAGAACTTAGTTTTTAAAATATCATAATACCTTTCTACATCAAGTAAATGAAAATTACATAGATATTAGTGACTCACATTTTTTAAAGATTGATATTGTATGAAAAATAAAAAGCTCTCACTCTGAGCTTCAGTCATTCAAAAGAGGATTGCCATAGAGACAAAGCAAGACACTCAGCCTATAAAATGTGTCAGTTTTATCAATACACCTTATTTCATGATGTGTTTGGGTTTTAATTCCCTTATACACAGTTGCTTGGGGTTGCTGTGAGTCACCTGGGACTCATCAGTTTTTGCATTTTGTTTGTTCCAGATATACAGAAGGAAGAGGAAGCCTGCTGTTGACAGGATTTGCGTCGGCATTCCTCCTGGAGAGGTAGAGGCCCTTCATATTCTGTTTGTTCCTACTAGTTCAGATTCTGACTAGACTGACCACAGTATATGGAAGGGGTAAAAAGTGGCTTTCAAAGGCTTCTTTATTTGTGACCCTGAGGAAACGTCAGTTGTGAGAGACGTTTGTCAAAAGAAAATGACTTTGGAAAATCTCAGATAGTTTAAGAAAAAGATACACATCCAAAATGTGCTTTTGCAATTTGTTCAACATGATGAAACTTGAATGGATTTATTCGATCTAAAATTTAAAACATATCTTCTTTTTTGTTCATGTTTGTGTTCTTTTATGCCCTTTAGTCAGATTACATGGTGAAATTTGACTAGTTGGCTTTCATTACTATTTTTTACACATTAACTTTGGCCTTGCTTGAACACTGAAATAATATTTACAAATACTCCCACACTCAAAATGGTATGGTTATAAAACATATGTTTAAATATCTGTATGATTTCTTAAGAAATACTTAATATTTGACTCATCATTGATACTTGACAATAACATTTCAGGATCATGTTATATAAAAATTAAGCTGAAGTAACTATTTTATAATGACTGTTCATACTCAAATTTTTAGTCATTGCTTTTACAAATTATGCAATCTGTTCCAGTGCTTTGGGCTTCTGGGAGTGAATGGAGCTGGTAAATCATCAACTTTCAAGATGTTAACTGGAGATACCACTGTTACCAGAGGAGATGCTTTCCTTAACAAAAATAGGTGAGAAATTAATGTGATTACCAATAGCAGCTAGTGGAATAAGTTATGTGAAATACTTAATAGTAGGCTTTATAGCTGAGGTACCTTCAATACATGGTACTACCATAAAAAATAGGTGAGAAAAGGAGTCTGTATATTGCCACAGATTTTCTTTACTTGATTTAAATAAAATATTATTTCATGATTATAACAGTATACTCCATAGTGTTTATTAAGTTGTTAAAATGTAGTAAAGTGTAAAGAAGAAAATAAAAATAATAGAGATAACAACTATTTACATTTCCCTTCAGTTTTTTAATAGCTTTATTCAGATATAACTTACATAATTTATTTTATGAGAACAAATCAATAAATTTTAGAAAATTTTAAAGATGTGCGGTCTTACCCACCATCCAGTTTTAGAACATTCCCATCATCCCAAATCTCTCTTCTAAATACATAATACATGTATTATAAAATCATAAAGTATCTAATTTTTGAAATTATATTTTATTTTTGAGTGTATTACAAATATTTCCTAGTGAGTTGCATATTCTATGGTATAGGATTGTAAACTATTGCGTAAATTTACTCCATGTTCCTGTAGTTTACTTAACCTATCCCTTATTGTTGGATGCTTGTTTGTTTCTGTTTTTCATATATTCATTTTTAGCCATTTCCTCCCAAAATTCCAACAAGCCAATAGGGTATGTACTGTTGAATTTGCCCTCGTCAACTTCCCCAGTTGATGAGGTTCCTGTCAGGCCTAATCTGAGAATGCACAGGTTACTAGGCCATCCACTTGTTGGGGTACAGCTTCTCCCTGGGGACCTGTTAAGCAATGTCACCCCAGAGTATTTTCAAATATGTGGAGCTTCTCTGGGCTTCTTTTCTTTAAAGATTTATTTATACATATAAGAACTGGGGTATAGGCCAGAGGTATGGAGGCTTAGAGGATTCACCAGAGATAGAGTGGGGAGCAGAATAGGCAGATCAACTGAAAATCCTGCTGAAGGGCGCAGCGGATGACACAGGAGAGGTGTGCCAAACCATGTGGGTCAGCATCCTGGCTGGGGATGGATTCAACCTCTGGTATAGTGGCTGCATATAGCTTCATAGTGCTGCATTTTAACTCCTTGTGCTACCAGAGAAGCCCCTCTCTGGACTTTTTGCATAAAGAGATGATATAAGGCATTGACTTTCTGACCATGATCCATAGTAGCAAATAAATTTTACATCTCAACCCAATAAATACAGACATAACAGTCTTATCTCTTAAATACAATTTTCATAAAACAATACCTACTCATACTGTTTGTGTACTCTGATATTCTACTACTCTCTCATGAAAGAAATGCTGATTATGACCTGCTAAATTTATTTCACAAGTCACTAGTAGATGATGACTCACAATAAGGGGTTTCTAGCCAATAAAACTGAAAGGAGCGGAGAACTTAATTTACTTACACATGGATCTCCTGTCTCTTACTACTTTTTTTTTTCCTTAGGAGGCTTAAGAAAACAGAAATTGTAGAATAGCAGGCCTGAGGGTGCATACCTATTTCGCCAGCCTTGTTCCTAGCAGCAGCCTCCTGGGGCATACAGCAATGAAGGCCGTGGCTGGCCCAAACAAAGCTTTGTCACAGTGACTAGTTGTGAGAGCAGGCTTGGACAGGGGAGCTGTATAGGTGCCCATGGGCACCTCCATTGTAATTCTGGGAAAGGGTGGATCTTGGAGTCCTAAGTAGATGTACAGAGGGGAATGGAGAGCACTAAAGGCCAAACTCATGACTATCCAGATGAGATTGGCTTCAAATGCCTCAAAATAAACCCACTGATACATGAAAAATGTAAATGTTTCCTTCTATCACTAGATTCTCCAAGTCTGTGATTGAAAAACTTTAGAAACCAGGAGAATGCAGTGTTGGGTCTTCAGCAGAACCAAGGGAGTCTGTCACATGCTGTGGTTGAGTCAGGGGTGGGCAGCAGAACAGAGTGAGTCACACTCAGAGTTGCTGGGCCTCTTCAGTGTCTGAATGACCATGAGGGAGACTTTGGAGCAACAAGACATTATGATACATGACTGGGCCACAGAGTCAATTCTGGGGTGAAGCTTCAGTGGCAAAGCCTTTGCATTGTGTGGCTGGGATTGTTGGTAAAGATGGTGCTGCAGTGGTGAAGGGCTAGGGAAACCTCTGGTGCTTCTGTTTGAAGTGCAAGGTCCGGCCAGGATGAGGCAGGAACCCTCACTGTTTAGAAGGGTTGGCGTTCTAAGGCCACAGTGAAGTATTCTTCAAGCCATAGTGGAGTCTTGGTATTTCTGTGTCACACTTTGTAGGAACACTAAACAGAGGTTTCTGATCAGAGTACCTGTAAACACTGAAATCCTGACCAGTTATGTTTTTCCTTATAGTATCTTATCAAACATCCACGAAGTACATCAGAACATGGGCTACTGCCCTCAGTTTGATGCCATCACAGAGCTGCTGACTGGAAGAGAACATGTAGAATTCTTTGCCCTCTTGAGAGGAGTCCCAGAGAAAGAAGTTGGCAAGGTACAGCGGGCACCAGAAGGCCAGCCAGCCTCCTTGGCATCCTGACAGTGTGCCTGGTGCTTTTGACTTTATCATGATCGTCAGCTTCAGGCTATTTTTTTGTCATGGATTTAGTAATATGACATGCTGGCTCTTTGCACTCACTTCTGGGGTGGGAAGGGGGAAGGGGAGAGGGTCTGTGATGGTGGGGTGGGGATGGGTGGAGGTCTGTGCTGGAGGGCAGTGAGGAAGTATTGCCAGCACTCACACAAACCCTTCCCCTCTGCTTTTGGCTCCTCAGCACTTGCCAGGTCATGGTGATAGAATCTGATCTTACTTGGTGCAAGACTTTTCATATGTAAATGTAAGAAAGCGTGCTAAAATTACCAAGGCAGATAAAATTCAGTGAGCTTTTTACCATTCTAGGTTGGTGAGTGGGCAATTCGGAAACTGGGCCTAGTGAAGTATGGAGAAAAATATGCTGGTAATTACAGTGGAGGCAATAAGCGCAAGCTCTCTACAGCCATGGCTTTGATCGGCGGGCCTCCTGTGGTGTTTCTGGTGAGTGTGACTCTGGGTGGAAAGCTCTTGTTCTTCCCTAAATGGAAAACATCACTTTTCTGAAATCCTATATGTTCAAGGATGTTAGCAGTGGTCAGCTGCTTGCCCCTTACCAGGAACTGTAGTCTCAGAAAGACATAGGGGAGCTTTCTTGTTTCTCTTATTGACACATACTGGGATGACTTTGCCAGCCCCTCAAAGGCCCCCAAAGGCATTCCAGCTTCCTTGTTTCTCTGGTATGGAGAACTCTTAACAAGTGTAGCTCTGGCTCGATATGTGATTTGACCTTTCTCTAAGGTTGAACACTCTTTCTAAGCATTTATGTGTTCATCCACTGAAGAGAAAGTGTGTGGACAATGCTTTAAGATCAGCACCTTGCTCATAGTGCCTCACATACAAATAAGTGGAAACCAGAGGATGAGACTAGACAGTGGCCCTTGACTCCTTTTCTTCTGTAGAAAAGAACAAAGAAGAAGAGCAGCAGCCTTGGGTGGCAGCTTTAATGTAATCCAGGACACGTAGATCTGGAATGTATTTCATTAACACTAGCAAGTATTATATAACACTAAGCCGGAGTCAAGTAGAATAATAATAATAATAATAAAAAGAACAAACAGAATTTTACACAAACTTTACATTAACTTGAATGGAGCTTTCACACAAAATATTTTTAATATATGTCTGTTATGACACTAAATGACCTTTTCCCTTTCCTTTCTGTTTGTTAGGAGAAATGTAATAAAAAATTAGGTGTTTTTTCCTGCTTCAGTGAGGCATTTATAAAAAGCAAGCAGGTCTAAAACTTATTTATATATATATGGTCTGGTTTTTTGGTGCTCAAGAAATACTAGAATGGTAAATTAAATTTAAGTTATTTCAGAGATGCTTCTGCCTTTAAATACAAGTCTATCCTGGATGCTTTTTCAGAAAATAACAGGACTGAGTTACTCTCGTTACAGGATGAACCCACCACAGGCATGGACCCCAAAGCCCGGAGATTCTTGTGGAATTGTGCTCTCAGTGTCGTCAAAGAGGGGAGATCAGTGGTGCTAACATCTCATAGGTCTGTAGTGAAGCCTGGCTTGTCTACTGTTTTGTGTTATTTTTAAATTTCCCAAGTGGTATATCTGATTGCTATGTAAAAATCACAAAGTATAGAAGGGCAAGGAGAAAAACAACTCTGAGCACTTGAAACTGCATCACTTGGAGACAGCCGACACTATCCCTTCACTGCCTTTGCAGTTCTATGGAAGTCTATATGCGTGTTTGTATATTACCACAATTTCCAACTTGGTATATATACTGCTTTTTTTTTTCACTTAACAAGATATGGTGAACATTACTCCACATCAGTCATCTTTTCGTACAGCTTGATAGCTTTCCATTAGGATAGTTCCTAATTTACTTAGCTGTTCCATTATTTTGCATTTGGACTGTTTCCAAATTTCTTCAGGCTTGTAAACAATGCAGTGCATTGTTTCACTGCACTGCAGTGAGCTGTGTTAACCCTACATCTTCATGCTCTTGTAACAGGATGCAATTGTGGCCTAGGAAGCTAGGTTTCTGTTTCTTCTAAATGTCTGATGACATGGTGATGTTGATTTTGTAGGAGGATCTTTCCAAAACTAAAAGCTCCTTCTGCTTTCTCACAGTATGGAAGAATGTGAAGCTCTCTGCACTAGGATGGCAATTATGGTCAATGGGAGGTTCAGGTGTCTTGGCAGTGTCCAGCACCTGAAAAACAGGTAACAAAGACAGTTTTATTGGGATCGTACCTTCTGAGAAAACTTGTATTTATTCTTCTCTGAATATATGAATACTGTCTCTGAAGTAAAGGAAGCTAACTGAACAAAATGGTATACTGTATACAAAAGGGAACTTTGAAGCCAAACTAGGCTACAATCAAATTCTCTTGTTACCTTTTACTCCTGTGCCCTTTGGTAAATGACTTAACCTTCTTGAGAGTCAGTTTCCTAGGATTATCTACCTTCTAGTTTTGTTATGTAGATAAAATAGAACCATACTGGTGAGGTCAGATAATAGGCTTTTGGAGGTAAACATTAACATAAGTGGGGCCACAGCCTGGTCTTTGAGCTCTGTACTATGGGCTTCAGTTTCTCTAACAGACTTCAGGTGAGGATTAAATTAAGTATCTAAGGAATGTAATATGGTACCTCACATGAAATAGATACTCACTAAATGAAAATTAGTTCCTTTTCTCAAAAACTTACTTCTGGGTCTGTCAGGGATCTTCTTTTTCATGATACAAGTTGGGTCTTGGGGTTAAATGCTTTTGCGAGGTTTCTTTGGGCATCTTTCACGTGGACTTTCTTGGTTTGTTTTCAGGTTTGGAGATGGTTACACGATAGTTGTACGGATAGCAGGTTCCAACCCCGATCTGAAACCTGTCCAGGAGTTCTTTGAGCACGCCTTTCCAGGAAGTGTTCTCAAAGAGAAGCATCGGAACATGCTACAGTACCAGCTTCCATCTTCATTGTCATCCCTGGCCAGGATATTCAGCATCCTGTCCCAGAGCAAAAAGCAACTCCACATAGAAGACTACTCTGTTTCTCAGACAACACTTGACCAAGTAAGTACTGTGTTTCAAAAAGAGATATGTATTTGTAGGTAAGGATTCTTGGTTCCTCCCTGAACCCGTTATGGTTCCTAGAGCAGCATAGACTATAGGAGTTTGAATTCTCAATTTTCTACTACTAGCTGTACTTTCACTTTTTACTGAACCTTCCTGAATCTGTAAAAGGAGATGATGCTGTCAACTTTATATGTGTTTTATGAGAATAATTGGTAATAATAATCATAACTTCCTTTTATGGGCCAGACATTTGGCCAGGCGTTTTATGCCATTTAAGTAAGTTAGCATCAACCAAACAGATCCTGGCACTTAGTAGGTATTAGCTGCACTTAGCAAATGTTAGTTAGCCTTCATGCTCCTTCCCTTTTGTCAAGGCTTTGTAAGCCAAAGTAAATCATGATTGAGCAGTTAAGAGTTTGGTGGGTAGGGAAGAGAAGTAATATGAAAGGTTGTATGTTTTTAAGTGGTTAATACTTTTTCAAGTGGTCCTTTTTCCTGTACACACAGTTTTCTAGTTAGTCTGCTCATGTAGTCTTGTATTCTCATATTCAACTTAATTTCCACATGTAGAGATGCAACTTGAAGAAAGAGCAAGTTCAGAGGTATTTATTAAAATCCATCTTTCTTTCTACAGGTATTTGTAAACTTTGCCAAGGACCAAAGTGATGATGATCACTTAAAGGACCTGTCATTACACAAAAACCAGACAGTAGTGGATGTTGCAGTTCTCACATCTTTTCTACAGGATGAGAAAGTGAAAGAAAGTTATGTGTGAAGAATCCTGTTCATACAGATAGCTGAAAGAAAGGAGGACCTTTACCTTCCTTTGCACCACATGAAGTGTTTCAGAGGAAAGAGCTGAAAGTTTTGTGGGAAGAAGTAAACTGGATACTGTACTGATACTGTTCAATGCAATGCAGTTCAATGCAACAAAAACAAAATTCCATTACAGGGGCAGTGCCTTTGTAGCCTATGTTTTGTGTGGCTCTCCAGTGAAAAAGACTTGAATTTAGTTTATTACCTTATATGTGTGTGAAACTTTTAATATGGAACCCAGTGGACCTATGGGTTTGAAAGCATACTTTTTTATTCCTTTGTATCCTCACTGGGGTTGCAACAATAAGTCATCAAGTCATCATGGCCAGTGATTATCAAAATCAGAAGGCAGGCACATCTTCATTTATCAAGCCATGCCAGGCCAGGAGACTGGCTTCCCGGAGACACATCCAGTGCTGGCAAAGAGTATGCCAGAATAACTAGTGTCAAGTTGCCTAAAAAGTCTGAAGCACCATGGCGTGTAACGCACACTTTGCCAAAAGCTTGCTCTGCTCAGAGTCTGCTGACATCATCAATATAAGGTCACAAACAGGTGCCATGTGTGGGGAAAGCCATGATTTGAATCCCTCTATGACGAGCTGCTTCGGTGGCGGTAACAGGCAAAATGTGAGAGGCTCTGGACCAGGGAGACATGGTTCATTTGGAGCCATTGGCCTCCAGGGTCATCTTCCTTGAACTCTTTAAATGTTCTTGGATCCTGGTAAGAAGCAAAGAACCGGCAGCCAGATTGTTGGGCTGTAAGCTGCTGAGGCGGGGCATGGGACTAAAGAGATGGTGTGCTCAAACCTTGGGAGGACCGTGTCCATTTGTCCCTGTTGTCTACTAACACGGTACACTGCATCTCAAGATCTTGTTTGACACAAGTGTAGTATTACTTTTGGCTTTTTAAATTAATCTAGGACATGAGAAGATGGGATTGTATTTTGACAAAAATTTTTGTTTAAACTTTGTTTAAAGTTATTTGGAATTTTAAGTTCCAACAGTGACTTCTGAACCTTAGAATGACCTCTTTGTAGAACCCTGTGGCATAGAGGGGCATGGGGGGGCCACACTGCCTCATTAGCTTTATTTTCTCATGTAAGTTTGCAGATGGATCACCTGACTCGTTTCTAGTGCCTGGGAAAGAATGTGAAGGGCAGCATCTCATGACAATTTTGTGTTTGAGTTTAAGATCATTTAAAATATTCTTAATCTCAGTTCATGAATCAAGTATTTCGAGTGTATGTTTTAGCTGAATGAGTACTGTTTATGGATGGGGTGGGAGAAATTAAGTCTCAGATTTCCTGTGCCATGTTATTCAGATAACTGGTTTACAAATATAGGTCGCTTTGTTGCTGTGGTTGTGGGGGCCCATGGGAAGAATAATGGGCATTCCATTTTGTGAAAATAATGCAAAACAATGCAAACACCAAGAAAGTTCAAGTGTTACTAGGGTCACAAGACTAAAAAATGAATTCTTTCACAGGGAAGACAGCTAGCTTCAAAACTTCTTATGCAAAACAATTTGTGTTTATGGCATTTAGTATCTTCCAATTGGCTCTGAAGATCTTAGATACACATTCTGACATTTCAAATATTTCATCTCTTCAACTGCTAACTTATGGAAAAAATGTAAAGCCAGTACCCCACTCCCCCACATCAATGATATTTCAGGCATTTGAACCCAGTCTTGTTTTTTTCATCAGTAAACACTTTAAAAAATATTTCACTAGTTAAATGTTGTGTCTTGAGGCATCAAAAATATGAGAGAACTACTGCTTGATAAAGTTAATGCAGTTTAAATATTACTACTAAATTCTCCTTTTTCGAAAACTTCAATATGATATTTAAATATTAACTCTAAACATAAGATTTCAGAACTATCTCAACTCTTTAAAATTTATAGAATGTTATAATTTGTTGCTTCAAAAATTAGAAATTATTATCAATACTTTTTAAAATGGTAAACAAGTAATGAAGGACTACATTCAGTAACTATCAGCATGAGAGAATTTTATTTATGCTCTTTAATAACATGAAATTAAAAATCAAACTTCTGTGGTTTTTTTCCATTTCACTAGAATCATGTTTTAATTCTCCTTTATATTTAATCTGTGAGAAACCCCCTGCTTTAGTTTCTCTGATTTCAAGAACATATTTTTAAAAATCAAAGGCACTATGGACTATGAAAAATGACATTTCAATACAGATTTTAAAGGATCTCTTGAAGCTAGAAACACTCTACCATTACACACTGACTTACTAATACTGTATTACCTATTTTCCCTGTGTAAGCCTAATTGTAGTAGAAACTTTTACTAACGTAAGTAAAATTTCTATATATTCCCTGTGGAAATGTCGCTATGTGAATTTCAGAAATCTTTAAGTGTTGAAAGAATTCTCTTGCTTTTTTGGACATCTTGGAAACCTTACTAACAACTGTGAATATGGGGGAAAAAAAACAATAATAACAAAATTGTCCTCTCTACCTAAATATCCAGCACAATTCATTGTTAAAGAACAAACAAACCTCAAACTACTGTATTTCAATATCTGTACTGAAAGTGTATGCATTGTGACTATAAGTGTTGCACATCCCTCATTCACTGTATAATAATCATTGACTAAAGGGATTTGTCTGTGTTTTCTCCATGTGGTTGTATATATCAGGTACATTTTTTTTTCCAAAGAGCCATGTGTCATAATATTGAACCACTTTGATATTGAGATATTAATTTGTACCCTTGTAACTATTTGCTAGTAATAACAGTACTATAGTAATTTGTTCTAATTCTTTTCAAAATTGTTGCATCCCTTTTTATAGAGTGTTAATATTTCCAAAAGGATTGAGTATTCTGTTCTCTCTTCCTGTACCCTGGACTGAAGCTATGTTTTTGTGCTTTTTCTTTATCATTGGCCCTTCATTCCAAGCACTTTATGCTTTCTGTAATGGGATCTATTTTTGCACTGGAATATCTGAGAATTGCAAAACTAGATAAAAATTTCACAATAGATTTCTAAGTTAAATCATTTTCATTAAAAGGAAAAAAAGGAAAAAAGTCAATAACTTTATATGAAGTATTAAAAAGGCATATTTCTATGTTGTAATGAGTCACGAAATAAAGCTGTGACAGTTGTTAGTCTATACAAATTTATTTTCGTGCATTCATAGCACCACCTACTGTTAAGAAATTATAAAGCTATTAAAGGAGGAAGAAATGTCACTTGTAGAGGGAAAGCTACTTGGATTGAAAGTAGAAATTTAGAATTGGCCCAATTCCTTGTTAATCACAAAAGAGAACTGAGGGGCCTATTTGAAAATAGAAACCAGGGTGTTCTACTTGCATGCTTCAGTTAAGATAATGTCTGACATTAAGTAAGTTGAAAAGGTTTTAGATAAACTTACTCTGCCTAATGATTATAATGCTGCAGAGTTACCAGAAAATATCTTGCAGCCTATTTAATAAAAACTTCATTAGCTTATTTGGTATTAAGCAAACTATCAAGGCAGACTTCAGAGTTCATTTTCCAACCAAAAATACAAGGATAGTATGACGAGTACCACTGGCAAGGTATTGGCAAGGGTCAGCAGGCAGGAAACGTACAAAATTGTGGGGGCAAAGTGGATGGGTATTGGAGGTGCTATCCCTATCTTCTGTGCCATCTGTGCCCAGGATTAGAGAGCTCTATGAAGAGACGTGGATCTATTTTTCATAGCTCATCTGCAGTCATAGTAAGAATGTGTACTGATCCTGGAACTTGAAGAACCTTTGCCAAATGCCCCCATTAGGCATCCCAGAGGGTCTGCACTATTTGACTTCTGCTGACTGGCTGTGAAGGATGGAGGCAGTTCTGTAGAGGAGAGGGCCTGAACCTTGCTGCCTAAAGACCACACTTGCAAGCACACTGGCAGTGTGGCTCGGAATTTTTTTCCCCCACTGAAGTGGATGTAGCAGTGATCATGATGAAATTATAGAAAACTCTGTTCTTTGGTGAAAAAATGAAAAGAAACTGAAAAATGTAAAGGAAGTTAATTTAAGGAAAATGGGTGGCACCTAAGAGTCTGGGCTAAAACATTCTTTTGAAAAATCTATATAAAGATTCAGGTACTCAAAAATTTTTGAGATGATAATGTGTACATTAAATAGGAAAAAACCTAAGAGGACAACTATTTGATATATCAGGCACTTCATTTAATCCTCAGTTCCTGTAGGATGAGGTAAACCACACCATTTGACATGAGTAACTTGTGGCTCAGTGGATAAGGAACTTGCTCAGAGTTATAATGTCATAGGTGGTGGAGGAATGCTTTTGTTGAAGTTGGGTATCAGTTAAAATTGTTCTGGTAAAAATCAGTTCAGAAAATATATGCAAATTGAACAGAAATTCACCAAACTTCACCATATGGCAGGTATTTTTATAAGGTCTGGGGCTCTGTGTCAAGAAGTCAGTTCTGCTCTAATGAACGGATCTTGGTGTGGAGAAATGATACTTGTATTCACAAGGGATATGCGGATAAACAGAATTAATGCAGACAACCTAAGTGCTTAGGGGCTAATGGGATAAGAAGCTAGTAACACCTGCTTATGAAGGAGAAGAGCTCAGATTTGAATAAAGGCCAACATTTGAAGGTGAGGAAGCAGAATATTCCTGGAAGAAAGAACACCTGATGCAAAGCCCCAAGTGGGAAAAAGCTTGGCAACTTGAAGGGGCTGGTAGTGGTGGTAAGAATTTCAGTATTTTGGAGTGATAGGAGATGAAATCAGAGGCACAGAAACCAAAACTTGTAGGATTAGTAGATTTAGTCCTCAAATGTTAAGGTATTTGTTTTTATTGTTAATGCAGTGAGGACACACTGGAGAGCAGTGTCAAAACAAGGTAATGTTTTATCTAGCCAGTTTCAGAGAATGCTGGCTGTGTGGAGAGAAAGGTCCATAGGTAGGTTAAGAGGTGACGGTGGATTGGGAGGTTGACAGCAACACCCAGAGAGAGGACTGGAAACTTTCAGGATCTGTTTTAGAGATGCAGTCAACAGGACTGGCATGGAAGAGATGTGGCAAAAGCTTGTGTTAAAAGGTAGATACTATTTCAAACTGGAACTTAGGAGCAACAGGAAAAAGGTAAATGTGTGAGTCATCAGCACACACATAGTATTTTAAGTCTTGGGACTGAAGAACTTACCTAGACAGAGTAAAGAATATTATTATTTTTTAAGATGTATTTATGTATCCATACAGAACTGGGATACAGGCCAGAGGTGCAGGGTGTTGAGAGGATTCACCAGAGACATAGTGGGGAGCAGAACAGGCAGATTGAGGGGGACAGCAGGTGAGACAGGAGAGTTCTGCCAAGCCATGTGGGTCACCTCGGGAGCTTGCACTGAAGTGGCTGTGGCTTGCTTGCAGTGCTGTGCTCTAACCTGCTGCACCACCAGGGAGGGCCTGTGAAGAATATTCTTGAACCCTGTGGCCCTTCCTCATTTCCAGAAGCTGTCACAGGAAACTCAGAGGGACTAGCTAGGAAAGAGGAAGAAACTGAGTATGACCCCAGATACGGAAGATCAGAATCAAGTTTTTTAGAAAAGCAGATATGCTGAAAAGGTGAACGGGTAAAGACAGAGAAGACCTCTGGATTTGGTGAGACAGGGTCCTTGGTGACCTTCTGAAGGCCATTTCAGTAGAGTGATGAGGGTATAGGCCTAACTGAATTGGGTTCAGGGAAGAATACGACAAGAAACAAGAGATCACAAATACATACAGCTCTACAGAGGGTTTTGCTTTACAAGGAAGCAAAAAATTAGAAAACTTTTATTTAGATTCTTAATCTGTTAATAGTGGAGGCAGCATGTGAGCACCACATCACCTTTCTTTCCTGATTTTTTTGCTTTGTTTTTTAAGCATTTAGTCACCGGTCATTAGCCTTAAACTGTACTTTGTTTTTCAGAGTTCCTTTTGTCAGAGTTCCTTTTGACACCTAATTCAATAGGTAGTTTAGAAACTCGAAGAACTAATAGCTGTCAATACAGACTATGAAGAGAACTGAAAGTTTTAGAAGGCACAGGCACTCAACTAACATGGAAACCGAAGGTATTTCAAGGATAGCTCTGTCTTCTCTGTGGTGGCACCAAAGAAGCTCTCCTGGAATTACTATCATTATTTTACTGATCTTAGTATTTGTGCTAAAGTTGGTAAGTTATTACTATTTCACTACCCCATAGCACCACAGTAAAAACTCAATATAAAAATACAAATCCAGAATGGACATTGTGGGCTTTTATTAGGATAAGCATTCCCATGGCCATAAAGATCTCCTTAAACAATTAGGTGTTCAAAGTATCTTTGTTAGTAATCAAAATGAACAAAATCAACGACAAATGAACCATGTCTGCATATAAAATAAGTCTTCAGAAGTTTTTTTTTTAAACACTTGAGATCTACTTATATTATTTTCCAAGTTGGTGTGAAAAACATAATGAATACAGATAATACTGATACTGTCCCATGTTAGATCTTTGACCTAATAATTTTATGAATCCAGTTTAATATAAAAAAAAACTTTACAGGACAAAATATTTTTAAGTCTTAATAAAAGACACTTGATGAAAAGACATATTATACATAAATAATTTAAAAACACTGTCGGCACAGAACTGTAAAATTATAATTTGAATTTAAGAAATTGCTACAAAGCAAAGAAAATGCTATGTTGTCAAAATCGAGAATCAGAGCTTTTCTAAAACAAATGTAAAATCAGAATAATGAATTGTGGCAACTATTTCTAATGTATAATAGATATTTAATGCACTAAGGAAAATGAACAGAACAATTTCCTGAGGTGGCAATGGACGGAGAGGCTTTAAAAATTCCAAGACGCTGCAAATTAAGTTACCACTTCACATAAAAAATCTCTTGGGAGAATTTAATACCATTAGCAAGCACATCTTATGGTAGTTAAAGAAATGCTTCAGATTTCAGGAGAAAACTATTTCAATGGTGAAAATGATGTAGGAATCAGAAGCATATTCTGCTGAGACACTAGGAAACCGACACTTTCCCGAACTAAAAAAAAAAAAAAAAAGTCTTATAAAGTTATTGATTCAAGTCTGTTAGAGTCAAATCTTTTTAAGAATAATTTATTCCTCTTGATAAAAAGCTCACCGGCTGCCACCACTCTGGGGTCCTCGTGTGCCTGGTGTCTGCCAGCTGCACGACTATCTGCACTCTCGTTCCACCAAAGGACATGAACTGCAGGAGGAAACCACACAGACTCTAAAGACTGTAGCACACCAGTAGCTCCACCCACTCCACCGTTACCACAGTTTCAGTTACCTCTGGTCAAATATAGTCTGATTATGTTATGTACAATAAGCTATTTGAGACTCAGAGTGAGATCACTTTTAACATAACTTGTATTACAGTATATTGTTAAAAAGTTCATTATTATTACTGCCATTAAATTGTTTAATTTATGCATTAAACTTTATCATAGGCATGTAGGGATAAACAGAAGGCATATAAGAGTTTGTACTATGTACAGTTCCAGGCATCCTACTGGGAAACTTGGGATGCATTTATTTCCCTGTGGATAAGGGGAACACTGTATAAAATTAAGACATATAGAAAGATGAATAAAATAAAACATTGCCTGACTGTATCAAAATTCTATCAAAATGATAATATTAAACATGTCAGTCATAAAATTTTTGAGAGATTGGGATTTGGAAGATAAATTTATAAATTAATGAGTCAAATTGGCTGTATAGGAAAAAAAACTGAGTAAAGGTGTAAGAGGTAAAGCCAGATTTAAGACACTGCATAGAATCATTACAAATGCCACATTTCATAACTTTCTAATTTTATAATTTATCTAAAAATACAAGTATTATAAAAAATTATGTTTGCTATTGAAAATATGGGGTGATAAAGAAAATAAAAAGCAGCATAATCTTTATTGCTCATAAGAAAACTATTCATACTTAATGTATTTCCTTTAAAAATATGACAGAAATTGAATAGGTTCTTATTGTGTATTATGCTGAGTAACAGGTTTTTAAAAGTCAGCAATGTATGACTACTTTTTTCTGCTTGAAAATCTATAATTCATTTGAATTTTATTTCAGCATATAGTATGCAAGAAAAAGATAATAATTTTCATGTTATGTTGCCCCTTCATTTACTTTCCAATTTGAAATTTTATCCTTTTTCTGGACTTTTAAAAAATGATTTGTTTTCATTTATGCATACTAGAACTGGGGTGTAGACCAAAGGTGACCAGGGGTGGGGGTGAGAGGATTCACCAGAGACAGAGGGGAGAGGACCAGAGGTGACCTGGTCTACACCCCATGCTAGAACTAGGATGTAGACCAGGGGTAGGGGTGAGAAGATTCACCAGAGACAGAGAGGGGAGCAGAACACATGGATTTATTGCAGTTTACTGCTGAAGGAAGCAGTGGAAGAGACAGAAAACTCATGCTTCAGATAACTAACTCTTGCATCACCAGGAAGACCCCATTTTTTCCCCCCTGATCTTTCTTAAGGTATATTACTAGAAAACACAATTTCTAGATAAAGATCAGAAGCTCAGCTTTGACTGTGTTAGATTTGAGATGTCCACTGGACATTCAAGTAGGGAAGTTGAGGAGATAGTGGATATAATGAGTCTTTCAAGTGCTTTACTAATGGTTGTAGTCAATTATCCTTCCAGATGTTTTTATACACACTGTTTAGAGTTGCCACAAAAACTGTGAAATTCTGACTGCAATAAATTTCAGTGTTAAAAGCTAAATACAAGTAGTTGTTGATTGTATAAAATATATATAATTATCTGCCTGATGCATATACTCATGCTGGAATATTAGAAAGCCATTATTAATCATGCACATGCATTATTTCTAGTATATAATATGTATATGTGCATATGCATTATATTCAGCATATATGTAAAATAAAACAATCTGTCATCGTATACCTATGTCACTTTAAAAAACTGAATTGGTCCTCCCTGGTGGTGCAGTGGATTAAAGCGATTAAAGCACAGCACTGGGAAGCTAAAGCCACTTCAGCAAGTTTGATCCCCACCCTGGAGGTGATCCACATGGTGCCGCAGACCTCTCCTGACCCACCTGCTGCTCCCCTCAGCAGTGTACATCTCAGTCTGCCTGTTATGCTCCCCGCTCTATCTCTGGTGAATCCTCTCACTGTCGCATCACCTCTGACCTGTACCCCAGCTCTATATGCATAAATAAATAAATCTTTTAAAAATTAAAAAAAAAATTTGGAACATGGGGGCCCTCCCTGGTGGCGCAGCGGGTTAAAGCACTGCACTAAGAAGCTTAAGCCACTTCCGCATGAGTTCGATCCCGCCTGCCCCGGAGGAGATCCACATGGCGTGGCAGACCTCTCCTGGCCCGCCCGCTGCTCCCCTCAGCAGTGCACTTCGTTGATCTGCCTGCCCTGCTCCCCACTCTGTCTCTGGTGAATCCCCTCACCCTCCGCATCTCTGGCCTGTACCCCAGTTCTGTATGAATAAATAATAAATCTTAAAAAAAAAATGTGGAACATGGTATAACATAGATTAAAAGATGAAAGGGATAGATATTTTCCTGAGGCTCCTTGCAGTTTCTTAAGTTTTATCATTTTCATGTATCATGGAAAATAGCAATTGAACACTAAAAAAGGCTTCATAAACAAGAGTTTTTAAAGACACTTTTTTTCAATCCTTTACATTACAACCTCCACCTCCCACCCCGCAGCCCCTCCAGAAGAAAGTTGGCAGTAAAATGAAATGAAAAAGAGAGACAAAGTGACCCACCACGGAGCTTAGTAAATCACTAATATACTTTGCAAATTCAAAGAAAAAACCTGGTGACTACCTCGATTGAGTGCTCCATAGTCTGTGTGGAAAACTCCAACTAGTTTTGAGTATCCTAGACTGACATGAGCATGAACTGCCTTTTGAAATGCTTCACCCCACAGAGCTGGTCCACCTGGTTTCATCTGAAAAATAACTAATTCATAGACTCCTAGAATAAAGAGAAACAGAATTATTTTACAAAAAGATATTCAAGTAGTTTCTAATCAGTTTAGTTTGTTTCCAGTGAAAGGTAATCTACATATAGAGTTAGAGGACCATACTTCCACACATTTTTTAATGTAGACACTTACAGATCATTTGCATTATTTTTCCTTGATTTTATGTTTAGAAAATCCTGGTCCTACTGTAACTTTAACAACTTACCCACACACCAAAAAAGAAAAAGAACTGAAAGCCGTAGATAAAAGATTTTCTGCAATACTTTTTAATTTTGAAAATTTGTCAATTAAACAAGTATTGAAAGTTTATAATGGGATTAGGATATTTCAGCTTAACTATTTTCCAACACTATATGTTATCTGCTTTACAATTTAGAGAGGAAATACTAGTTTGTGTAACAGTATTTGTATAATTTCCACTACATAACTCCGTTTCTAACAGGCACAACAAGCAAACAATGGACTTGAAATGATACCTGAGTTTATGAGGAGAAAACAAAGAAAAACCAAAATGGAAGAGATGGTTCTTAAATATGCAGGTAAGTATTTGAAAATCATTCACCTCCTAGTCAGATATGGGGAATGTACATTGAAGACAGGACAGAATTATTTGAGAAGGGGAAGGGCTGTTTATTCAACGAAGAGGCTATAAAATTGCATCCTAATTTCATTTAAGTTAAATTTAATTCAAAGGTGGCTTCATTACCACCAGCACCCACCAAAGAAAAGGTCTTCCTCTGTAATTTAAATTTAAATGCCTCAATTAAGTGAATAGGGATAGCTAACATACACTGAGAACCATGTGCCAACACTTTAAATTTCTTATACTAATCATTTAATCTTCACAAACAGCTGTGGAAGTAGGTACTGTGTCATCATCTCCATTTCACAGAATACAAAGTACAAAGTTACTAAGAATTATGAACAACAGAGGCCTAGAACCTACATTTGACACTGATGGAGAAGAAACAACTATTCAGAAAGTGCAGAAGGCTGAAGGGATCTAAGCAAAGCTGTGAACAAGACTTTCGAAACACATTATAACATAGAATTAAGAATCACAGGGAAATAAGAGAAAATTGAAATGAGTTTATAATTTTTCTAATCTGACCTTTGTTTAAAATTGGATTGAGGTAATCATTTCTTTAAATCAGCAAGAAGTAAAATCAGCAAGAAGATAAATCTTTAGGAGTTATTTTCCAAACTGAGAAATAAGAAGGCACAAGAGTTAAACTTGGCAATTTCAGTTAATAGTCCCCACAGTCAGTCAGTTGTGTAGCAAAGATGCACAATGATTTAAGATTAGTTTTATGTTATAGAAAAATACTGATTTATTTAAAATAAATTTTAATAAATTTAAAAATTTTGACAAAAATCACACATACCCCCTCAATTACCCACACATGTGTTCCCTGCTCCTAACCTAACGCCTCAACCTTTACAGACCATGTCAGCTTTTTCCATGATACAGGTAAGGGTTCAGATCACTGAGAGCCCAGTTTGGAAAATTATGCTTTATTGGTAGTGTTCATTTTTTAAATTGAGCACTAGACATTTTTTATAAAGCTGGAAGTTCCAGCTTGTTTTTCTCTCAACAATCAAATATGTTAGACTAAGGTTTAACTTTAGTTTTTGTAATTTAAAATCTTTAGTGTTGTCTATCAAAATTCAAACAGGCCACAAGGAAGAAGACTTACCTTCTTTTGGAGGTTTTTGCAATTTGCACCATGGTACCAGATAGGTAATCTCACTCTCTTGTTTATCCATCAGAGACAAATTTGGAATGAGAAATTGTTCCTGCCATTTCTTATCCTTGGCCAATGCTTTGCGAACTTCAGTTCGATGTGCAAAATTATCTATGGGAAGAAAGGTTAAGAGAAAGAAAAGATGGCAACTTAAGGTTGACTTACAGTTTTTTTTTTGGGGGGGGGGTGTCTGCTTCCATTCTGTAAACACTCAATGAGGTTCCATAAAGGCACTGTCATGTATCACTGGAGATGTCAGGATACACATGTAACAACTGTCTCCAACATACTCATGGTCTAAAAGGGAGTTGAAATGTAAGTAACTAGTGTAACGTCACCTACTAAAAGGTTTAGAGGCACTGCCGCTTAGTGGTTAGTTGTGTGACTTAGGTAAATTATTGAATCTTTCTGGACAAGCTTCTTATTCTGAGAAACCTGAAGATTATATCTATATAGACAAAGATATGAGGATGGGGTAAATACCTATCTCAGAGATTAAGAGATGTATAACAGGTTCTTGTTAGTAATTTTTTTTTAAGATTTATTTATTTGTTCATACAGAACTGGGGTACAGGCCAGAGATGCGGAGGGTGAGAGGATTCACCAGAGACAGAGTGGGGTACAGAACAGGCAGATTGACAAAGTACACTGCTGAGGGGAGCAGTGGGCGGGTCAGGAGAGATCTGCCTCGCCATGTGGATCTCCTCCGGGGCAGGCGGGATTTGAACTCATGCAGAAGTGGCTTAAGCTTCTTAGTGCTGTGCTTTAACCCGCTGCGCCACCAGGGAGGGCCATTAGTAATTTTTTTAATGGACATAGGGACATTAAAACACAGGTTGTGTTTTCATGGGGTTTGTTTATTACAAGAGGGAAATGTTCCTCTTGTCATCTTAAGTACAGAATGAGCTCTTTTCATATTAAAGTACTTTTTTAGTACTTTATTAGTAGACATTGATGGATAAACACTACATGAAGTTATTACAAATTCTTTGGATGTCCTTGAGTCTTGACTTGGACTTCATAAATATTGGATACTGGAAAACATTCCTGGGATTCCTTTTATCTGTTCTCCTTCCTCTTCTAAACCAAGGGAAGGTTAGTTTCCATATGAGAATTATCTGAAATTCCTTTTCCATGACCTCCCAAGACTAATGTGACAGTGAATGCTTTAAAATAATAGGGTGAAGAAATAAAAAGAGTTGCAAAAAATACAGAATTATTAAATCTTACAAATGGGTAAGCCTTCAAAATTAACTATTTATGAACTTAACTCAGTTGGGTTTTTTTCAATTACTGCTTTAGTTTTTTCTTTTTTTGAAAATGAAACTATTGTAGGTTACAGTATACTCTAGGGTAAGTGTGGGCAGATTCAGAAAACTGCTTGCTTCATAATTTTTGTAAAATTTTGTAAAATTTTTTCCATATGCCATCTATATAATAAGATTTCTAGTATTTTTTTCTGAGAATTAAAGCCCAGCTCACAATTTTATGATTTGAAATCTGAGATGTCATATTTTTCAACATCACATCCCCTTGTCACAAAGGTTCCAGCAGTGGACTGGAAGACATGTACAACTGGGAGGGTTATTCCCAGAATAATAACTTTTCATTGCTGGTTAAAAGTTTTCAACCCTCCCTAGTGGTGCAGTGGGTTAAAGCACTGCACTAAGAAGCTAAAGCCACTTCCACATGAGTTCGATCCCTGCCTGCCCCAGAGGTGACCCACATGATGCAGCAGACCTCTCCTGACCCGCCCGCTGTTGCCCTCAGCAGTGTACTTCATTGATCTGCCTGTTCTGCTCCCTGCTCTCTCTGGTGAATCCTCTCACCATCCCTGCATCTCTGGTCTGTACCCCAGTACTGTATACACAGATAAATAAATCTTTTTTTTTAAAAAAAGTTTCCCATAACCTGTGTCTGATTACAGTGATACAGATCAAAGAACTAAGTCTCATGTAGCCTCTGACAGAATGAAAATATATACTGTATACTTAGGTTGATGACTCATACCATACTTCCAAATATGGAACACTGTGTTCAGTCTGCCTCCATATTCCACACTCCAGTAGCCAATCAGTTCAGAGTAAGCTGTCCTTAGATGAACATTTTTCTTAAAATTTTCCAGGAACTCATTCATCTTTGAGGGTTTAAGGCAATAAGTACGAAATTCATAGAATGTTCCATCACACTGTCTGGGGCCTGTAGCAAAAGACGAGCGTACCTGGAGAAAGATAAGAAACATTTTGGGAGGGTGTAGTTTATACTGTCATGTAACAACCAAACCTGAGACAAGAAGCAAGGACACTCAGTAGACTCACAATCCATTTTTACACTCAGTAGACTCACAATCTATGTCCTTTCTCCACAGCCATGGGTTTACAATGATGCCAATAAAGAGAACTGCTACTTTTCGTTATTGTAAAGAGACAGTTGTGCTTCCTAGCCTACGGTATGCTTTTATTCACTTTTTTTTTTTTTTTTTTTACGAGAAGCTGTTCATAAGAGGCACTGGAGTACTTTCTTTCCCAGGAAATAAGATTAGGATCTGAATAAATGTGACAATTTCCCCTTCGTTAAACAATATTCCATCTTTACTCAATAATTTATGTGTTGGAGTTAAGCATTTAAAACAACATTATTAAACACAGGTATTTTTGGTGACACACAGAAATGTGTTCATTAGGAGAAAATTCCTATTGTTAGGTTCTTAAAACAATGGAAATTTCTGGTCAGATTAGAGTATTTCCCCAATCCAGTGAAGCAAACCTCTGTTCAAAAAACATGACTGGATGGTAACTAATGTATCAGGAATCTCTCCTAGCCAGTACATTGCAATATGGTGACAGACTTGTAAATGGCCAATAGGAAAAATCAAGTCACAACTGTCAGAATAACTATTTTTAATTAAAGATGCAAATGGAAGGGAATTTATTCTACCCAGTTATATGTTTGATGGAAATAGGTTTGAAAAACTCTAGTTCCTTTTATAAGCCATATGCTCACTATATTAATTTTGGATTTGGGTCTCTGAGTAAATTTAACTTTCAATAGAAAATGCCTTACCATATGTATGTGTGTGTGTGTGTGTGTGTGTATACCCATGTACTTATGAACATGGGTATATATACACATACACATAAAAATGGAATAATTTGCAAACCCACTTTATGTAAGTTTGGATAGCTTGGGTACATTTACTGAGGCTGATTATACAAGCATAATCTATTAAAACAGTTTGGTTACTTGTAAAGCTATGAATTAATTTTGGGATTATTTTTGATTACCTAGGATTTTAAAGGAAAGCAGTAGGCTCTGGCTCTTATATAGATTGTTTACAATATACCACAGTGTATATTATTTTACTTCAGTGTGTACAGGGTTAATTCACTTATCTATCTTAAGCTCATTCCACTCATGTCTATTAAAGAGCTATATATCTCAACCACTAGTGACTAAGCTTGCCATTGAAAACAAGTGCTATTACCCCTGAATGTGGTGACATTCTTTTTGTGCCATTATACCAAACTCTAATAAGAGAATGTTATGCAAATAAAAATTGCTTTGTATATATGCAAAATATATATATTACATAAACCAGGGTACGCGCTATGGGGTAAGTTTAACAATTGTTTTTAAGGGAAATTTGTATTTGGAAACACATTTGTTATCTTTCATAGGAGAAAACACAGTGAGATAACCGTTTGTGCTGGGGAGAGGTGATATTTGTTGCAGGACAGAAACTAAATGCCAGGGGAAGAACCATGAGCTTCAGACTCCCTGATCTTCACATAAACCTCACTGTAGACAGTAGCGACTCCCAACTTACTTATACTAGGATATACTTATACTTAACTGGTCAACATTTAGTGAAGTGAACGTACAGAATAAAGTGGTAAGGAGAAGTTCTTAGTCCTGTCCCAGTAGTAGCAGAAAAATAAAGATTGTATTGCTTAACTTTAGGTGAATGGGACATTAATTATCTTTGGTCTTCATTCACCAGCAAATCACCCTTTGGAATGTTTATCCCCTTCTTATCCTGCCCATTGAGAAAAGAGCTAGAAACTGAACATGAAAATAAAAGAAAAATCCTGAGCAGACACCGATTCCCGATGACTTAGACAGACTCACAAACACCTGTTTCGTAGATTTCCATCTATAGTTAAATGAGTCTGTAATAATCACGTTTATTTACGAGATTTCAGATCCTGCCGAGCTTGGCCACCTACCAAAGGCAACAGTGGACAACTGGGCAGGATGTTCCAGTAATTGCACTTTGGACCTCTTTTCCCAGGTTGTCTGCAAAATGCTCAGGAGTTGCGGGGTTCCTTTGAAAGGGGAATTCTGGTTCTGAAGCCAGCCTTTGGTTTACCATTTTTCCTTTCACCCCATTTAGAGGGGGCTTTCTCTCGTCAAAAGACAAATCAATAGGAAGGGCAGGACCGGCATCTGGCACAAACCCCTTTGGGCTAGTGCCCACGGTACTGGCGAGTAGGGCGGCCTCTGGAACTTCAGGGATGTCCTGCGGACAGTCCGGCATCTGGGTCAAGGCCTCCGTCTCAGGCTGCTTTTGACAGAGACACTGACCGGGTCTTTCCCTAGCTGCGCCGAAGTCAGGCTTCCAGCGTGCAGGGTCTGGAATCAGCACTCACATTTAGGTGACTGCGCTGGCGCGCGGGTTTGCTCGGGAGTGCGCATGCGCCAGTTCGTGCTTAGGCAGAGCGCGTGCGCAGATCCGTACGCTCCTTACGAACGCCCCTTTGCGGGTTCACCCCAGTCAACTACACGCGGGCGGGTCCCAGCTGCCAGTACCTGAGGCGCGAGTGTCCGCGCGGCTAGAGCCTTAGTCAGGCCACTTCGGAGGACGAGCATGGCGCGGCCTTGAATGCTGAGAATGAGGCAGCCAACGGGTATTCTCTCTAAATTCCTACTCTTACCCGGCTTCCCGACTAGAAGAGCGCCCCACTGAAACTGCTGGCGGGCAGGCTCGGGGCGCGTCAGCTCCACCCCTGGTGCCCGCGGGGTGCGGCGGGACCGCCCAGTCCACGTTTGTTATCGGTACAGTCCTTTAGGCTCGCCTTGGATCCGCCCCTCCACCCCCAGTTGCTTCGCCA